CAAAAGAAAAATACTGTCAGACATGCCTAGCATATAGAATTTAGTATTGGATTTACCTTTCTAAAGTGATGTTAGACCACAGCTGTAATTCTTTCTAAATCCCTGTTTTATTTTGCAGTTGCATCTCAGTGACCTTTAGGAAAAATCACTAAATTAAATCGACTGCAAAATGCGACCAGTCGGTTGCACTCTGGAGTTCATCAGTAAACACCCACAGAGTTCACACTATCTGGCGCTCTGATCAGAGTCTTTACGCTTCCTTGGTTTCTAACCTGTTGTACAGCTGTGTGTTCTGTCAAGCAGTCGCTCTACAACCTCAGTCCCCTCTGTCAAGTGTTAACAGGGTTGCATAACAGCAAAGAGACCTGTAATAGTTGGAATCTAATTATCCTCGTTACGGCCTCTGTTGCTGACCAGCGGGGCTTAGCGCTCACTCAGCCGTGATGTAATCGTCATGTGATAGCCTGTTGTTGATATCTCGCCTGCTGTCCTCTAGTTTTGTGCTGGTGCGTTTTTCTCGCTGCTCATTCCACTCATTGCTCACTTTGTTTACGCTTTGGAGCCTGTCATCTGTATCGCACCGTGACAGGCCTGCTTCTTCATGTTGCCTTTTTTTAAAAAATCAGACAAATAAGTAAAAAGTCATGGGAGTTTAAATACTTCAAGGGCTGAATAAACACATCACTTCTTGTATGTGTGATTTAAAAAAATAAAAAAAGGATGTTATGCATATAGATGTGACTAAAGGAAGAATCTTTAAGCCTGCTTGGGGTTAATGTTTGTTTCTACAACAGCAATATGTTTGCAGTAAACAGATCTGGGTCGATGGTAAAAACGGTGACAGCTGCCAAAAGCAGAGAGAGTAGCACGAACAAGATGTCATCCACAGAAAAAGTCCAATAAAGAAGAACCTTTGGTAATTGTGTCTGTTTAACAAGGCCTCCTACCAGTTTTATTTCTGTAGTAAATGGGTTTTTCTTCATACTCTTCCACTACTTATTTCCCATCCTATTTACCTTTCTCGTCTGTCTTCCTCCTCCTCTCTGTCCGTCCTCAGTTCAGTCACTTGGAGCCGGTGTTGAGCAGCGGGACGCAGAGTGCAGGTGAAAGCTACAAGGCCGAGCGCTGGCTGCTCCACAGCTTACAGGTTCACAAGCTCTCGGCTCAGCTCCGACCTCTGCTCCGGCATCTGGGACACACACGCAAATACTACAACGGTGAGTGTCACACTAGTGGTCCAGTGAAGTAAAGCAGAAGCTGACTTTCCCTGTTCCCACATTCCCTGTGTGCTGTTTACGCCCATCTGCATTTCCCCACTTTTTCACTTCCTCTTTGTCTCTTCACTTACGTCCTGATTATTTCTCTTTTTAATTCTCCTTGTCTCTTGTCTTCCAGATGATGCCTTTCTGCTGAGCGAGCCTCACGTGACCGCCATGTTCCAGTGTCTAGAAGCCGTGGAGCAGAATAACCCCAAACTGCTGGCCCAAGTAGACACCGTTGGGGTGGGTTTCTGACATCTTCACATCAGAACTCTTGCGTGACCTGTGGGGATAAAATATAGAGATTTGACAGTTTATACTAGTCTGATGAATCTCACTCCTGTCTTATAGTGACTTTAAAGGGAAGCAGATTTTAAAAGGGGCACACTTAGATTTGTATGTATCTTTTCGTCTCTCCCAGCTGTCCCCTCTGAAGGGTCCTCCATGTCTGGGTCTGCTGAAGAGCCAGAGCCTGTGTGTGCTGCCGGGGGCCGGTGGGGCCTGGAGGAGCGCTGACATGGCTCCCAGAGGAGATTCTCTGAACCGCAGACTCACCACCTCCAACTGCTCTCTGCGAGAAGCAGTCGCCACCAGCCACAGCTCAGCCAGGAACACAGGAGCTGGATCGCAAAACAGCAACAGCACAAGTGAGGAAATGCTGAATGACACGAGTAGCTTTTAAATGGCTTTGTTTACATTGTTCATAATGTGTATTTTATTTATTTATTTTTTATTAGCTAGATGCTTAAAGTAGCATACCTGCTGATAGATGTCCTTTGAGAACTAAATGTGCTGTAATGAAGGAGATAGGAGAGGATCTGGCTGATTTTTTTGATTGGTGGTGAATTAATTCAGAATCCATTGTGCGGTTTTTGAAAACAAGAGTAGCATTTATGAAGAAGTTGTACTTGCAGCATTGATTTTTAAGATGTATATATTTTTTCCCCTAATGACAGCAGGAAAGGCTGAGATTATATTATTGGTGTGTCCGTTTAGCTTGCTCGGGGGATCACATCAGCATCATGGTGGATTCTTAGTAACAAATTATTCCTCTAAATGATTTCCAGTGAATGTCTCAGTCTGTCTCTATTTGAGGTTGTACACTAAATGACACGAAGCTGGTCACTATTTTCCAATCAGTGCGAGGATACTGGGGCTGGGATATGGCGCGATGAATACACTACAGTTTGTATGTGAATAGAGTGACTGACTTAACCATACAGAGGCCTGATTGTTTGTGGACGTGGTCAGTCGCTGGAGAATGTGTTGATGCAGCCTACAAAACTCGATGTCCGGAGCTGAGTGTGCTCACCAAATTAGATAAAAAACAAACCTGGACTGGTTCTTCCAAGCATGTTTTTGACTTTGTTGCTTTTTTTTTTTTGGTACTAAAGTCAAACTTTAAGTCAAGTTGTATTTATTGAGAGAAGCCAAAACTTGTTTTACCATCTGTGCAGCACATGACCACCTCTGTCCTTAGACCCTCAGTTCAGATAAGGAAAAACAGACGAGACAGAAGGTTGCAGGAGTGAAATTACAATTTGGAAAGATAGGAGTGGAAACATAGTTTAGGTTGACCCTTGTCCATTCTACATCAGTAAAACGTGAGCGAGTGAAAAACAAGTGACACAGATGTAGGCTCATGTTTTTAAGTGTTTTTGTAAAAGCATGTGTTTCAGCCTCTCCCTACATTTTCTACTTGTTGCAGACTCTACCTCTCCAGCCAGCAGCCTGGGACCTCCCTGGGTGTGTGTGTCCCGGCCGGGGGAGAGCGAGCAACTCGCGACGCCCCCTGCTGGCTCGTTGGCTGTCCCGAGCATCTCCCTCACGGAGCCCTCCTCGCCCTCCTCCTATCCGCCCGAGGCCGGGGACTCCGGTGACGGCGACTCCGATGATGGTCCGGAGTACCTGGCCATCGGTAACTTGGGGCAGCGCAGTCGTCGTGATTCCCGAAGCTCCTCCCTCAACAGCGAGCCGAGCGAGAGCAAGGACCAGACCCTTCAGCGAAATTCCCTGGCCCCGGCCCAACCGAGGCGCTCGTCTTTTTCAGAGGGCCAGAGGGGGCCGAGCAGGGGGGCCCGAGGACACACGCGCTCGTTCTCGGACACAGGCGTCAATCAAAAACTCAGGAATGGTGAGTGAGTTGACAGATGGTTGGAGTATGACTTGCGAGTGCTGTTTTCAGTAAATGACACAGCAGCTCACCCTGTTTCAGTGAGTAAATACATATTCCTGTGTCGCCAGCATCAGTCTAGAGCTCCAAGAAGTTCAAAAGCATTTTAACATTCAGAAGTACTATGTGTCTTAACCTGTTAAACCCTGAGCTATTCAGGCCTCTGCTCGAAAATTACATACATATAAAAAAACAGTTTATCTCTGCAACCACAAGATCTATTTGAATAATTCTTGTGTCATAATAAACTGAACGCTTGTAAGATTTGTTCAGATGTGTAAATATCAATATATATGTTACTGGTTAAGAGTTAATGAAAACGATACACACGCAAATTAAACATTTTCAGGTTCACCTAAAAAAAAAAAAAAAGCACTTCCAGGATAATTATCTCTTTGGAATGATCCAGCTGCAGCTCTAAACCTCTCCAAGATCATAGCACAGTATGTGAGCATTCTCTCTGCAAAGGTTGACTGATAAAGTGAAGCTGTCTGCTCTTGTTTGAGGGGTTGTTTGTGCGTTTTGCATTAAGCACCAAAGCGCTAGAGCCAGAAATGTGGGTTGACTGGGTGGCGCGAGCGTTCTGTATGTTCAAACATAGATGTGACAGCATCTATGTTTGAACACATTGTTAGTTTATAACGAAAGTACATTTATAAACCAGTTGAAGTTCAGCTTCAGTTCGCAGGTGGTTCACTTCTTTCTCAGTTGTTCTATGTGTTGATAGACGACAATGTGGTTAGTGATACTTGCAGTAATCACATGAAACTGCCTTTTTTTTTTTCGGAGCATGTTTTTCTGTCTTAACTTGAATGTCTGTTATTTTTAGGTTTAAAGTGAGCTATCGGCTCTCTGTAGTAAATGGAAACATACCAGATTAACGATTCCTTTTTTGCACAATAATGGCATAAAGTTCCGATGAGATTTAGATGGACTTCAGCTGCATAGTCTGTGTTACTTTTGTACCTCTGTGAGATGTGGTTCGGCTGTATTCTTTATTTAAAAGTGCACACTTCCTGTCTAAAAGTTTTAAACCTTGCCGAATTAACATCCGCTCCTTTTTTTGCTCAGACTGTTTCCCCTTCTTGGCTCGAGTTAACCTTCTCTCTTTCTGCTCTATCTTTCTCTTCTCTTTCACTTACTGTTTGTGCGAAGGAGGGGGCCACAGAAAAATCACCATAATAATAGAGGATCCGGTAGCAGGTTGGCAGTGCAGCATCACTGTACTCCATCACTCGAGCCCTCCCACCTTCCTGTTTATTTGCTTCTGCATGATGGCAAACCGTTTCCATCCCTTCCATTTCCAGTCCTGTCTTCAACTTATCATTTGTGCTTTTGGATTTTAAAGACCGTTTTCCTTTTTTGTTGTTTATTTTAACCAGGTCAAATCGATGTGACAAAGCCATGAACGATCACTTTCATTGTTGTTTTTTCATGAACCATCACAGCGTTTCATTGGAAGTGTCATGGAGTCATTAAGTGCTCATTTCATGTCCTGATAAGAAAACTAGAATTGAGCATGTATGTCAAAAACTCCATTTGTGACACGTCAAAACAAAGTGAAGCATTTGGTTACATGCACAGAACGATATGATCGATATGAAGAAACTGCACAGTATAACACAGTGTTCATAACCTTTAAAAGTAAAGATTGCATCACTGCTGTCTACCTGCAGATATGTACTGCTTCTGCATCACTCCAAAATGTTCTTTAGAAACATTCAATCATCTCAATTATACCCACTCGCTGTCTTTGTAGAACTCAGCAGCCATAGTTTTGTTTCTGCATGCAATAAAATGCACCATCCCCACAGATTGTATTGATTGTTTGACGGAAAGACAACAATAGAATCAGAGCATTTAACCAGTTGCTTTCTCCGCTTTGGTGCATGTTTCCCACCAGTTTGTGTTTGAGTTTGAGTTTCAGCGACTGAGGAATTTTGTTGATAAAACACTGTTAACGTGCACCGTTTGTCTCTCAGAATCAGCAGGCGACAGCTGCTGCATGAAGGACTACAGCCCTTTCTCACCTCAGTGCAGCGATGCCAGCACCCCCAGTTCTCTGTACATGGAGTCACGTGAGTTTTCTGATATTCTTATTTATGTTTTGGTGGCTCTTTGTAGAGGAAGACTTTTTCATTCAGCTGTTTTTGTCGATGGTTTTTGAAGCAAGAATGACATAAGTAGTCACAGACTCAGTGTGCTTTTCCAGTGTTTGTTTGAAGTCTCATGTGAGGCAGAAGGAGTCCACAGCATGCTCACGTGTGGCAGGAAACTGGGCAAAACAGTTGACATGAAATATTTCTTGAAGAAAAACAAGTTTTCACTTCTTGGGTATCACTGTAGAAAGTGTGCCAGCTCTCCAATAAACACAATACTTTGGACTCTCAGAAGGAATGTTACGAAAAGGTTGTTAAATGTGTTTGTGCGGGAAAAAAATGTTTTATTGATGTAAATGTATTCTGTGAAATTCATTTTTACTGGAGTGGGGAAATCGTGTCAGTTTCTCATTCACTAAGACGTGGTAAAATGTTGTAAAAATTCAGCCGTAAACCGCTGCCTGTATGTGAATATATCAGTCGTCATAACTCAGTCATATGTCTGATTTTAGATAATAAGCTGCGACCATACAGTTGGTTAGAAAATATATTTTGTAACTCAGTTTGTACTCATTGCTTTTGAAACATTTAAAAATTAAACATTTATTTTGAAAGCCAAAATAAAATCCCAACAGCAAAACCATTATATGCAACAACATCATTATCTGTTTGTCTGTTATGCATTGGTGTTTACTTGTGTGTGTGTTTGTTTGCTTCAGATGGGTCCCAGTACAGCAGTGTACCAGATGGGATGTTCAGGAAGCCTTCGGAGGGGCAGAGCCTCATCAGCTACCTGTCAGAGCAGGACTTTGGCAGCTGTGCTGACCTTGAAAAGGTCAGAGCTTGATCCATTATGAATGTAAATTGATTGAAAGGCCTCAGTGCAGTGACGGTTCAGGGAAAAGAACGGATGAACTTGAAAGAATGTAGGATGACTGAATATGTAACGATAGTCTTGTCTCTTGATTGATTCCTAATTGCCTCTGCTCTGTAGGAGAACGCTCATTTCAGCATCTCCGAGTCACTCATTGCAGCCATCGAGCTGATGAAGTACAACCTGCGGCGTCAGGAGGAGGAGGGTGAGGAGGAGGGAGACAGCGACTGTGAGATTCAGCAGCTCAAGCAGAAGATCCGCCTGCGGAGGCAGCAGATCAGACGCAGCCGTCTGCCGCCGTGCACGACCCCCCAACACAGTGAGCATTAAAACAGTAGTGGTGGACTGAAGTTAGATGAAATACTTCATCATCTGTGCAGCCAAATAATTCCTTTATATGACTCTTGGTTGACAAAGATATTTTCTTTTGAATATTGTAATTTTATGGTCTTTTAAGGGTGAATTAGCTTTCAGTTTATAGATATTTTTTGAAAGATGTACGTTTGTTTGAGCAATGATACTAAAAGAACACACATTGATCTTTTAATAATCTCTAGACTTTAAGAGATCCTTCCACGCCAAGAGGAACAACAGTAGTCTCTGACATGAATCATATTGTTATTCATAAAAGACATGCTTAAATGTAACACAGCTGCTGATTTCTGTGATGTTTAGTTTCCCGCACCTCCTTTCTTCTGTGCAGTTTTCCATTCCACTGACAGTGGAGGCTCCAGGAGGAGCTCTCAGGACTCCTACCAGGGCCTGTCTGACTCCGGTTCAGCTGAGGAGGTGGAGGAGTGTGAACTAAGAGGTAGAGAGAGGGAACGAGGGGGCATCGAGGGGGAAAGAAATATCACAAAAATGAACCCTAAAAACTATTTTTGGTTGCCGTGATTATTTTCTGACCGTGTTAATCATTGTGACCAAACTTCTTCAACACCAGAATAGTATGATGTGTGATCTGTTGATTTGATTTGGTCAGGCTACAGAGTGATTAGAAACAGTTGACAGTCTTCTCTTTCAACTGCTGTCACCAATCAGAGCACATTGATTCATTTTTCATCTTTTGAATCAAAACGAATGGGAAGCCGATGAACATTGCTCCGTTCGTCTGTGTGAATGAGTTGTTCTGTGTTCCAGTCATGATTCAAAACCTCATCGCCACACTGGTTGCTCACCAAGCATGTCACGTTTCACCACGGACCATAAACATGCAGTTCTGAGTACAGAGGTCACAGAATGATCGTGTGTAGATGCAACATGTTATCATGAGTATTGCTTTTAGTGCAGATGCTTCGGTCACGTGATCGAGCATATCAGTGATTTATTCAAACTTCAAAGGCTGTGGTTGAAAGGCTCCTGTTGTATTCCTCCAGCACTGAGGAGGAGTGTATCTGAGCATGTGTTTCTTTAATACTATTAACACGGGTTGGTTGTCACGTGAGAGTGTTCTGTGTGTGTGTGTACGGGTTGTATGTGTGTGTGCATGTGTTTAACTTTGCTTGTGTGTATAAATGCATTTCTCAGTATTGTGAAAGCGTGTTGTATCTCGCGCCTGTTGAACTGCACGACTTCCACATGTCTGCACCTCTCAGCACAGCACTTTACAGTCTGATCGCCCGTGCTGTCGACGCGCGGCTCCCAGGAGCGGTGAAATCTCTGTGCATGTGGTGACGGTTGTGCTGAGTGTTAGTTTCTGTCTCTCAGATGGCTGCGAGGGTCAGTCCCTGCTGGCGGTGTCTCAGAACGGCCTCTCCCTGTCACTCGCCTCCCTCTTCTCAGGTATCTGCAGGCCGGACTGGTGGCCGAGGCTCCACAGCTACATACAGACAGTTTACTGTGGCCGTGCTCCCCTGAGAGGGCGCCGGTGGCTCGGCTCCAAACTGAACTTTTTTTTTTGTTTCCCCCTTTAATCCCTTTTGGGTATGTGTGTCAAACACGGCTTATCTTCTTGTCGCAGTTCAATTATAGTGATAGATTTCTGTCCAGATCTACAATAGCACACAGCTCTCACTTCAGTTACAGAAATTTCACCCTAAATTAAATATTTTTCAACAGGTTCGCCCTGCAATGAGATGTGTAAAGTGTGTTTTCACTTTTGATTTGACACTGAAATAAAAGGTTGCTGCGATAATAGCCAAACTACTATGCAAACAGTACAGGAAAGGTATTTAAAAGAACTGCACTGCATGTTTAGTTTGTCCCAGTAGGTGTATGTTTTGTAACAACAAAGATTAAAACAATTTTGCGCAGAAATAATTAGTAAGAGTTACTGATAGTTAGAAATTTAATACTTAAATTTCACTCGAAGCAGGCAGTAAGAATTTATATTTCTTTGAATTACTACGAGCGCTGCTGAAGGAGGACTTCCTAGTCGGGCTCTCTACAGAAAATCTTGCCATAGCTTCTCAGTTTGGAGATGAGCCAGCTGCCTCCTCACCCCCCCAGTTGAACGTTGCTTGGCTGTTTGTGTCGGTGCTTGTTGCTCAGCGCTCCAGGGTTTTGGTGGTGCAGGAGGACGGGCATGCCTGCGCCTGTCAGAGTTTAGGTAGGCTCATGGGAGGAGGCGAGAGAATTAACAAGTGGCATCCTACGGTGACTGTAGCTTCATGGATTATCACTTTACTCATCCATCCGTCATTATTCATTACCTCCAACACGTGTCCAGTGAAAATGAGGTGTGATTGTTGTCACATTGCTTCCACCTTGTTGGCTCAATACCAGACGACTACTAGGTCCCATCAAGTAGAAGTGTAATTCATCAAGGCCTCTGGTGCAAAAATGACTAGATATTTATTACAGTGAGTATCCCTCATTCGCTACACTGAAAGAGGCAGAGATGAGTTCAAGGGTGTGTGTCGGTTAAATGGATTTTATTCAGATGTCATAGTGTGTTGTCTCGTGGCATTTGCTTTGTAGCGCTACTGCTTAAAGCGAAGGAAGGATTAATCCATTAACACCAGTGATAAATCTAATCGTTCTAACTGTGCTACGATTGCACCTCACTGTACTGGACACAAGATGACCAAAAAAAATCAATCAAAAGCCTCTGCTCACATGTGCTCTTTGCTGTGTGCCACCGATTTAAAACCATCCGGTGACTGCAGCGCCACTTTGCAGCTGACAATCTGCCGAAACAATCAGAACAAAACAGAGCTGCCTTCAGACACCATTCAGCCAATCATTCAATGCTGCTGATTAACTCTGCCGGCTCCTGCTGCTCTGCAACAACGTGTGTCGACTGTAACCCTAAATTCTGATTACGATCTGTGCCTCGTTCAAACAAAAGGCAGCGCTGAGCCTGTGGTACGAGGAACGTGTTCCACACAAACTCCCGCAGGCCGTCTCCTGTTCTGCCAAACCTGTGCTGTTTACGTGTTTGCTTGCACGCTGTTTGTGGAGTATCAGAAAAAAACCATGTGGTAGCGATACCGTTGAATCTGTCCTGCTTTCACTGCATGCTGCCTGCGTAATTATATTCACAATATAATTTAATCAGAGATTAAATTTTTGGTTTTCAGCTACTTGGAAGTATTTTAAATTGTTCTCTTGGATTTGTGTCACTTTTTATTCCTGTGCACATCTACTTTATATGATTTCTTCCTCAACAATCGAACGCTGCTTTGCTGTAGCAAATAGTGCCAGCTGACATGAAACCAAAGAAGCACCACGAGCCAGTCGCTTGTACATTTCAAGAAGGCTTCTCTACACAAATTAACACATCATGTTGTCATTTCTTCCAATTTCTACGAATCTAAAAATCTTAAAGTTTATTATACAAATAGTGCAAGTCTGTCAGTATCTATGGCTGGTGTTGCCTCTGCTCCTGCTTGGTTAAATCTCTTTTATTGTACTATTGCTGTTCTTCTAGATGCAGACATAAAGCGCAGCGTGAGCTCCAGCAGCAGGTCTTTTCTCAGCTCAGAGTCCATGTAAGTCATGTTTTCTGTTTCCCTTCATCCTCATCAGCAAAGTGCTCTAATTTGTCCAGGACAGTTTTTTTTTTTTTTTTTTTTAAATTCTTTTCAACCACAATTCAAAGGCAATGTCTTATTTCACTAAATTATAATTCAGCAAATTTGTATTTATTATTACTTTTTTCAGTTTCTAGTTATTTGAGTGACTATTGTGAATTTCTCCTTTTCTTTAATGGAACGGTATGAATACATTTGAGGACGACTGTATGTGGCCTCTGTGAATACGTGATAGAGGGAAAAGATCCAGCTTAAAACCTGTCCTGTTTTTTTTCTTTTCTTTTTTAACATGTTCTCTTTCTGTGTCTACGTCAGCTCTCCATCCTTCCTTCAGTCTAACTCGGCTGAGTCAGTAGCTATGGGTTTACTCAGGCAGTTCGAGGGGATGCAGCTTCCTGCAGCCTCTGAGCTCGACTGGCTGGTCCCAGAACACGACGCTCCGCAGAAGGTACCACATCTCGCTGCATCACTGATGTTCTGTTCACATTCTCCTCAACAAGCGGTGATAAATATGTTGATACACGTTGAACATTTCCAATTATAGCCACTGTAACTCACACAGTAAGAGAACTGAACTGAACTTTGATCTCGCTGTCTCCCAGTTGCTGCCAATCCCCGACTCTCTGCCGATCTCCCCCGATGATGGCGAGCACGCAGACATCTACAAGTTGAGGATTCGCGTACGAGGTAACCTGGAGTGGGCGCCGCCTCGACCGCAGATCATCTTCAACATTCATCCTGCCCCCAAGTGAGTCCACGTTGGGTTTACCTTGTCCTCACTCTCTGTCTCACTTTATTTGGTTCTTCATTTGCCCCTGTTTTAATCTGCCTTTTTAATTGTTGTGGCTTTATTTCGTCAAGACATGCGCACATGGAGCTGTGCTTAAATGATGTAGATAATAAAAGTGTTTCCTGAGAAGTGGCATATTACATCAGAACTGGATGAATGAAGCTGCAGCAGGTCAATGATTGATGCAGTCGATTTCCATTTGAGAACTGATAACAAGACTGCAGGCATGAAAACGTGTTATAATAGGAATCTACAGCAAGTCGATTACAGCTTAGAGGTGATGATTTCTGAATAAGCCAAGAGAAAAACAGCTCTTTGGGAATGAATGAATGGAACTATTAATTTGTTTTATTTTAGTTATGTATTTATTACTCAGCAACACACAAAGTGAAAGACACACGAGTGTCTGTTGCTTCTTACTCCAAGAGCACAGCTGTTGTGTTCTTAAATACTGATCAACAGAACTTGGGTCCTGTTGGTGCACATTCATTTCTTTATTTATTTTTTTGCTTTAACTGTCTGTCACTTATTAATTTAATTCAGGAGGAAGATAGTTGTGGCGAAGCAAAACTACCGCTGCGCTGGCTGTGGTACTCGCATCGACCCAGGTATGACCAGAAACCACAGAAATGTTTCTCGTAAAAGTCTTTTTTGTTTTAACCACCAGTGTTTAGAAACTGAAAGTTTGTTTACATTTACAATTTCAGTTTGTGGTTTTAGTTTCATGTCACAATCAGCTCATGTAGCTGCAAGACTCCTGCTTAACAATAATCTTATTCTGTCTTGATCCGCTGCCCTAAAACTCATTCCTTTGGTATTTCCTTGTATGTGTTTAAATTCTATGCAGAGAAACATTTACACTCTATTCTCTAACTTTTACCTCGTTGTGTTTCTGCTGCCTGTCCCGACTTCAGACTACATCAAGCGACTGCGTTACTGTGAATACCTCGGCCGCTACTTCTGCCAGTGCTGCCATGAGAACGCCCAGGCAGTGGTTCCCGGCAGAGTTCTGAGGAAGTGGGACTTCAGCAAATACTACGTCAGCAACTTTGCTCGGGACCTGCTGAGCAAGATCGCAGGAGATCCGCTGTTCAACCCCAATGACATCAACAGCGGCCTGTACAAGAAAATCAAAGCGCTGGAGGCGGTTAGGGTGAGTTCAGAGGCGGCGGTGGAAACTGTTTGTTAATAAGCAGCTGTTACCCCTAATTACCAGCTTCAGAGCGGTTGCTGTTTGCAAAGCTTATCTGATAACATTTAATCCGAGGAGTAACGGCCACAATTCACCGACACCTGACTGTGGTGTGCGGAGCGTAAAGCATCCTAAAATAACAAACTTGTGACTGGTGGCTATTTGGGAGAGAAACCAGAATGAATAGAGACATTCACGGCATTGACAGCTACCATTTAAAAGATACTAAAAAAAGACGTCTACTGCTTTGGTGCAGCTTCTCGTTGACCACGGTCGCCTGAAACATTTAGTATCTGAAGTATTTTTTCTAAATGAAAAAACATAGAAAATCTTGTGACACAAAGACGGCATGTTTAGTCTATTTTTGAGTAAATCTGATTTGTTTTGTTGTGCCCTACGTTATTTGTTGTTTTATTTTGGAGCATAATGGCGACAACAGTGTGACTCAGTGATGTGGTTTCGCAAAATTCAGATGAAATTGTACAGAATTCTTTTTGAAGTTGGGTCAAGCCAGCTTTTCATTTTGGCAGCTAGTAACATGAGAAATTTACCTACTTGACCTCAGCTGGCAGGGAAACTGAATATTAAACACTTTAACATAACAGATAATAGGACTGGGAACTTAAATCGGCCTTTTTCTCCCCCCTTGTTCTTATGTATCACTGTTTGACCGTGTCGTTGTGTCGTTGTCTGCTCAAGTAACCTGTATTTTCAAATTTTTTTTGTTTAGGTTTTGAGGGTGCAGCTGTTTCACATGAAGAATCTCTTTAAGACTTGTCGTTTTGCTAAAGAGTGAGATGCCTTTGCATGTTTTTAAAAAAAAATTTACAAATATTTCAGTACCTTTGGAGATAAAATAATGCCCCTCACAAAGACGGATATCACTAGTTTCATGCTTTGCGTCCATTCCTCAGGGTCTTGGACCAGTTCGACTGCCTGCCGGGTCACCTGACCGAGGACCTTCACCTCTTCTCCCTCAATGACCTCACTGCTGTGCGTAACGGCGAACTGGCTCCACGAATGAAAGAGCTGCTTAAACTTGGCACCATGCACGTAGCTGGCTGTGTGGTAAGATGATTTTTTATTTTTTATTTGTGCCTTCATGCTAAGATGGAGAGTTTATCCAGTCAGTTTAATGCAATGATTTAACACACAAATAGATATCGTGATGTCCGGACTATTGAGCGCACCTGAATATAAGCCCCACCCGCTAGCTTTAAAAAGAAAAAACAAAATTGTACATGTATAGGCCGCACTTGTCACAGGTCACCAGTCTATCACAGGGCTACACTTAGAGACAGACAACCAAGCACACTCACATTCACACCTACGGACAATTCAGAATCACCAATTAACCTCAACATGTTTTTGGACCTTGTGGGAGGAAGCCGGAGAACCCGGAGAGAACCCACGCTTCACGGGGAGAACATGCAAACTCCACACAGAAAGATCCCAGGTGTCCTCACCGGGGTGCGAACCGACAACCTTCTTGATGCGAGGCAACGGTGTTAACCACCGAGCCACCTTGCAGTCCCTTACACAGAAGATTTTTTTTAACAGTAAATTAAATATGTACCGTAAATGCTCTTTTCCGAACAGTAGCACGGCTGGTTAAAAAGATAAAAATTACAGCAGCCTACCAGGAAAAGTCATTGATCGCTATCTTCAGCTTCCTCCTGAAAACCACTAAAGTCGTCTTCTTCAGTGTCGGAGTTGAACAGCCTCAGAATTACTTGGTCACACACTTCCTCAGTCTCTCTTTCGTTGTCGCTCTAAATGTCACTTTGGTCTCGAGGCGAATTCGTAAAAATCCTTAAATTAGCTGCATCATTGTTCAAAGTGTGTGAAAAAAGTAGCGACTTCTAGTCCGGACATTACTGTGATAAAATGGTGTTTCATACAGTATCAGAAGCTGCTTTGTTCAGCTGCTTTAATACCCACATTTCTACAGCACAGATAATAATTTTCCATCTTGATCCAATCTGTCACTTTCCTCTCACCCCTTTTCTCCCCCAGCTGTGCCAGGCGAAGGGCTTCGTTTGCGAGTTCTGCGGCAACGACAAAGACATCATCTTCCCCTTCCAGCTGAGCAAGTGCCAGCGCTGCGAAGGTGAGCCCTCGAGAGCCCCTTCCTCCCGCCCCCCTATTCACCTTACCTGGAGAGACTGGAAGATCTCCAAGCCTCGTAGGCTGGCCAAGGCTCTCTACCGAGACCGGAGAGAGGGGGAGGGCGGGGAGGAGGGATTAGAGCTAGAAGCAGATCAGGAGGTGAGGGGTGAAAAGCAAGATGAGGCGGAGAGGCCCGACAGAGGAGGCGTGTTTAAGGCTTTCGCTCCTGGAAAACTGGTTAAAGCTCTTTCCAGGAATAAGGGTAGCGAGGTGGAGCAGGAGAGGACGGGAGGGGCGGAGTCGGAGGATGAGATTGATGAGATTGAGTCTAACAAAGAAGGAGAGGAGAGTGGTGACGGCCAGCAGAGTAAGGAAAAGGCCGACGGGCAGGGAAGAGGAGAGAAGGTCAGCTTGTTGAAGGTTCTGCAAATAGACAGACTTAAGAAAAACAGGAGAGACAGCGACAGTGAAATACGCAGCAGCATTGAGAGTTTAGACGAAGCAGGACAAGAGAAGAAGGGACGTTGGAGGGCGTCGGGGTTAGCAGGTCGAATCAGGGGTTTCTCCAAAAAAGAGAGACAGGACGAAGGGAAAACAGAACCGAAAGAGGAAGGTGGAAATGGAGAGTTTAGAAATACATCATCGACAGAAGCCGAAACAATAAAACCAGAATCTGCTGCTGTGGGAAAAACTGAGAAATTTACCATTATGAAATTCCTAAAACCTCATCAGCTCTCCAGAGGGAGGAACAAGGCAGAGGAGGATGGAGGGAGTGCAGAGAGCGATGGAAACAGAGAGGTGAACACTGAGGAGGAGAGCCAAGAAGAGCCGGCAGGACAGACGAACTGGAGAAGTCGTAAAACTCGCAAAGCCAGGAGAGTCACCAGAGGCAGGAAGATGAGAGGAGAGGCAGGGAGAGAGAAGACTAAAGGGGAGAATGCACAGAGGGAGGATGTAGATGATGATGGTGGAGGAGGAGAGTAGGAGCAACGTAGAGCTCAAAGTTTGAAGATTAAGCAGCGCTGTCTCCCGTTGGCCTGAAGTTGCCCAAGTAAGATTAGAATCAGCTGAATTACACTACAGAAGATCACCCAAAGGATAACGCGTGGCCTCGTATGTGTCCAGATACCGATGATAGATTATTGATCACAGATAAATAAGGGCTTTAGGATCATCTAAAACAGAAGTCTGTATTATTCATTGGTGTTTTAGTTTTACTGTGGTTTTAGTTTGTTCCTGTTTTTAGCAGCCTTCAGGCTACATCAGCACTATTTTGAAAAGAATATGTCCCATAATTAGTACACACATGTTGGAGCCATTAGATTAGAATTTTTGGAAAGTTTTAATCCTCTTAACCGCTAAAGCAATGGTTCTCAAACTGGGGGTCGGGACCCCCATGGGGGTCCCAAGATAATTTCAGGGGGGTCACCAGATCATTTAAAAAAATAAAATAAAGCCTACGTTTTTCAAATAACTTTGTATCAGTGCTGTCAAAATTAGAAGTTTATCCTTCTTCCCATTCCTTTTTCAAACTATTTATGATTTGATGATGCGACATTATTATTCTTTTTTGCTCTTTTTAAAATTATTTTCTTTTGTTTTTATATATTTTTCCTCTTTTTATTTGTTTGAAATACATTCAGTTCATTCAAAAGAAAATTAATGTGTTAATGTAAAGAGATTAATCTGTGGAATTAATTTTTAACGCATGAACAGCAAAGTTAATACTCATGAGATATTAAACATTCAAATTGAGGGGTCACAAATACAAACTTATGTTATTTTGGGGGTCGTGACTCAAAAAGTTTGAGAACCACTGCGCTAAAGGTTGGACGAGAAGATTGATGCCACTCTTTGCCTGCAGGAGGTTAGCTTAGCATAACGGCTGGTTTGACGCCAACAGATAATAAAATCAGCTCCTCTAAATCTTCCAAATGAACACGTTACAATAACAAAAGCGTTAAAGCACCAGTTTATGGTTTTATGGGGAGTGTCACGTCTCCGTAGCTTCGTATTTACGATGTGGATATAAGAGTGGTATCAGTCGAACGCTCTGCACGACGGCGACTAAGAGCAACGTGGTTTGAGGAGACGTTGGACTTTTTCGTTTCGGGTGTTTTCTAAACTCTTTTACGAGGTCATAAATGAGTTGCACCTTGATGCAAGTCTTTAACGACCTCGTAAAATAGTTGTACCTTGATGCCTCACTCCTGCACTTTTCCTGCTCTCCTTTACCTCCTACTTCCCGGCACTGCGGCGGTGTGTTTGAGCTCTGGTGCTCACAGGTGGTGGATGTTCTGGCAGCTACGTGGTGGTGGATGTCTTTCGGTTCAGGTCGTAGAGGTGTTGGTGCTGTGCTGTCTTTGGCGCTCGGATCTTCGCCGCTTCTGTCGTAGAGAGCGATTGCTGCTAATAGTTGTTTTCTTTTAATATAATTTCTTTTTTTTTTTATTACATAATTGTGTACATGTCAGTATGATTTTGGTCTTAAATTTCAGTTTGGAATCTACTTAGCGTCGTCTGTCCACCGCAGCCAGTGGATGTTTTCATTGTTTGATTGTGTTTTTTTCATCCGTCTCTGGTTGGTTTGTCTCTGAAATCAGCAGAAACAGGCACATACATGTAGACTGTCCCTCCAGCTTAGAGAAACCTCAGACCTGTTGTCAATCTCCTTCATCTGTTCCCGTTTTTATTCCGACTGTCGGTGAAGGAAGGCTTTCACGTTGTGCCGAGCTGACTGCACGTCTGAATGATTGTATAATTTATACTTTTTTTTTGCTATTATTTAAGCTCCAGCTTCATGTGAACATCAAATAATAAACTTTATTTTTGAATTTGAGTTGCCTTTCATTTCATACATCCACCTTGAGCATTTAGTTTGAAACCTAAGAAGTAGTATCTCGGTTTGAAGATCTGAGCGAATGTGCCTGAACAGGTTTAGGTTCACATGAATTATCTCTCATACCTGCTGCTCCCTGCTTTCTGCCGCGCTGTCTGTAGCTTCTGCGCCTTTTATACTCCTCCCTTCACCTGTCCTCGCCCAGGTGCGATTGTGATTGGCTGTCGTGGCGTGACATCACCTCTCATTGTCAGCAAACTGGTCAGACTGGTTGCTCTGTGCTGTGAATGCGTTTAACTCACTGCTGTTTGTTTTTTTTTTTCCCCCCTTCCTCAGAGTGCCACGCGTGTTACCACCGCAGCTGCTTCCGGGCCGGTAAAGACTGCCCTCGATGTCAGCGGCTGGCGGAGCGCAGAGAGAGGATGGCGCGCAAGAACATGGAGGAGCAGGAGGACGAGGGAGGTGGGAGTTAGCTTCCGGGTACCAGAGGAACCTCAGAAAACGAAGAAGAAGAGCACAACGCGACTCATGATTGTAGTCACCGACCATCTTCCTTTCCGTTCCGGCCCTCCCAGACCTGGGCTTGCAAACAGCCGTTATGAGCTCGACAGATGTGCCAGATGTGCGAGTTTTACTAGAGGAGCACGGCTGCTGTCAGATAAATATTTTCTCCTTTTTTTTTTTTTAGACGTGCACTTTACCCCGTACATGCATCCTTGCTTTAAAAAGTACGTGATATAATTACAAAAATCAAATGATGTTGATGGAAAAACTCCTCAAAAATACAGCTCACGAACAACATTTTTGTTTCTTTCTTGATTATTTTATTCAGTCTTCTCGGACATTAAAAAAACAAAAAAACTAGCAACACTAGTGGCAGTAAATAAGAATCAGTGAATTATTTTGGCGGCTTGTCTCATTGTTTCCTGTCGCCTTTCCTCAACAGCGCTGCGTCATTCCTTAACAAACACACCTGCTCCGTATGAGAACGATACAAAACCTGCTGCCTTCACCAGACGTTTGAAGCTGGATAGAGCCAAAGATTGTCTAAGCCTGTCTTCACTTTCCACATTTTTGTAGTAAAACTAACCCATCTGTCAACAACAACACAAACAAGCTCAGACTGCTGTGCCCAGGTCTGCTATTCCTGCTTGGACTCATTTTACCGGCTACTGGCTTAGCTGAAGTTTATTTCTTTGACACCTACAATGGCAGGATCAGTTTTTTTTTTTAAAGAATCCAACTGGTTGTTTAGATCTTTTATGATTTGACTGATTTTCGGTGCAGATACTGTAAATGAAAGTCACTTTATGATGAGTTTTTTTTTGGTTTATTTGTTTTAATTTGAAGAACTTTAACGCTTTCCTTCCTCGCTCCTCACTGTCCCACTCTTTTTTTTTTAAACCTGTTTTAGCCACGTTTATGTGCCTCTGGGACCAACAGACCGGCAGAGAGAGCGAGTTTCTAGAAGGATTCAGAAAGAGGTTTCAGAGTCAGTGTTGCAAACATTTTGAAATGAAAATGCTCCGTTTTTGTGCTGCTTTGTGTGCCTAAGTGAGTGTGTGTGTGTGGTGAGTAGAGAGAGCTGTGTGAGTGTGTAAGTGTGTGTGTGAACATGTCTACCTGCTGCACAAATGGTTTGCACCAGCCTAATCAGCACTTGCCTGTTTTCTAACGCTGTAGGAATAATGGAGAGTTAATTGCACTGATTCCTCGTGTTTTTTGTCGAAGGAGGGAGGGGAGGGAGTTTGGACGTCACTTTGTGGGAAATAAAATGTTCGTTGTAAGAACATGAAGTTAGACCTTGAAATTATCCTTTTTTTAAAAAAAAAATCGTTTTATAATTAAGCTCCTGTCAACTGGGTTGCACGACATTGCGAGAGGTTTCAAAATAAGAGCGCCAAAGTGTTACACATCCATGCTTTTAATTTGAAGCAAAAATGTTGTCAAAATCTTCATATTTCAGTGTTTTTTTCTTTTATTTTTTTCCTCCAACCTAGAGCGGTGGGTGGAGCACGGGGTTATTGAAAGAATGGTTGGATATTTGAAAACGTTCCCTTTTAAACAGAGCGTGCGACATGTTCAGCCTGATTGAGCAGCCTCTTCAGCTCGTTTAAACACAGGGAGAGATTATAAAACCGACTTCCTGTCACCATCTCTAGAGCTCAGTTGTTACACCTCGTCTGTTTTAATCTGCCAGTGACAGTTTGCTGTCTTGCAAAGGGTTGTGCCACTATGTGTTCTTTTTCTCTAATGGGACCACTAACTTTACTCCACTGGGTGTCTGGGTTAAACAAAGCTAACAGGCTGCTGCACACAACACATCTATCTTCTTATCGAACGCACTTCAAGACAGCAAATAAGCAAATTTCCCCCAAAAAGTCTTTAAAATGAGACGGTGTCTTACTCACAATGTTGACGTGTTTTAAAGACTTTCAGCGCCTAAAGAGGTGAAAGTACGCAACGTAATGCAGAAATAATCCAACAACTACATTATTTTTCTTTCTGGTTGCACTTTTAATCATCTCATGACTCCTTTCATTTAACTCTGGTCCCCCTAAGTTGTAAACTACTGATCAACAACAGACTTAAGAGGTGTTTTTCACCGCTTGCTGCTTCTCAGTTGTTTCTTTTGGATTCATTTCAGTGTCTCTGTTGTGGGTTGGAATCGCCACCACAGTATGAAAGCAAAAAATAAAGTCATGTGAAAACAGATATGCAGCTTAGTGATGAGATTACCGTGGACTTCATAGCTCCAAGCACAACTTGATGTGCGCCAGCCTTTTAACAGATTCATCTGCAGAACCCTCCATTAGCTCTAACAGGCTTTGCTTTATGCGTGCACACCCTCCAACCCGTGACACATTTACGTCCCTGAGTCTTCCCGAATAAGCAATTGAACCATTAAAGAGATAAACTGTGTCCACGTCTTTGGGTTTTGACTTTTAAACACTGAAGCTCAAGGCTCCCGTACGAAGTGACTCGACTCCACTGAAAAACCTCCTCAACTCAGCTGATTGTTTGTCCTCGGACTGCCTTTAACATGAAGGAGGTTTAAAGTGCACTACGAATTCAAGTGTCTACTATTAAAAAATGTTAATTATTGTTATGATGATTATTATTATGTGTTGATTTGCTTTGTTTCTGTAATTCTGTTGACAATAAATGACTGGCTAGACTGTTAAAAAAACAAAAAAGACGTGATGAGACGGTTTTTCTTGCTCGTGAACTAAGTTATGAACGTTAGCGGCTCATTTTTTGGATTATTTTCATAACTAATGTTAGTCTTTAAACCACAACTGCTCTGAACACATTGTCTAGTTTATTTTAATGTCGGATGAGGAAAAGCAGAAGATGTTCATGTTCAAGAACTTGACTGCAGTTTTGCTTATAAAACGAAACCGTTGCAGGTTAGATGACTAATTAATTAATTAAACATTTTATGTCTCTGACAAAGACAACCATTTTCAGTAGGGATGCACGATATATTGGTGACCACATCGGTATCGGCTGATATTAGTGTTTTTTCACATATATCGGTATCGGTCTGCTGAACAAATTTAGTCGATCTGAAAAACTGATGATTGTTTAACATTAGCGGCTTCGTCTCTATGTTTGATATCGCTGCTATTTCACAGATGTTTTTACTTAAATGGTCCTGGACTTGAACGTTACATATGTTTAAATATGTTTGACTTTTGTTAGTTATAAAGGAGACTATGTGGTCGAATTTGGACTTCCTTTGAATAGTTTTCTCAAAGTGCTTACTTATGCTCATTTTTTGATGTGAAAAAAAAATTGAATATCGGTAATATCGGTTATCGGCGATATCAGCAATCTTCATATTGGTATCGGCCAGAAATTTTAATATCGTGCATCACTGATTTTCAGTTCTTTCGCTCAGCTTTTGATGCCAGCTGCCTTAGTGCTGATGCTATGCCTGTTCTGCTCTGGCTGTTGAGAAAACTGCAGGGTTTCAATCAGTGGTGAAAATAATAAACCATAAAAGCTGCTTTTGACCGTGAGATACAACCCTGGCTGGAAAAGACTGAAGCTATTTGCACAACATACAGTCTGGACAAAACTGACGAAAGACTGCCTGTCTTGCAAAAATAAGTAAATAAACAATCAAAAATACCAAGTAACCAAAGTATTACTTCTACACATAGGATTTGTTCACATCAATTTACTTGCATTGGAAGGTTTTGTGGACAGTTGTGCCATCTAGTGGATGAAATGTGACAAAGAAAGAACTTGTGGAAACCACCTTTCTATCTGTGATCGATTACGGTGGCATAGTGTACAGCCTCCTCCTCCTCCTTAACCCTACTCAGGACTTTTGGGGTCTTTTGGACCCCAGGCCATTTGGTTTAGGTGACAGGTATTGTTTTTTTATTTTTGAAGATTTTTTTTTTTTTTATATATATATAAAAAGAGGAACATTTGTCATGCATTTGGAACCAAAAATAAAATAATCTTTCTGTGTAAGGGACTGCAAGGTGGCTCAGTGGTTAGCATCATTGCCTCGTAGCAAGAAGGTCGCTGGTTCGCGTCCCGCTGGGGGCTGGGAGTTTGCATGTTCTTCCCGTGCAGCGTGGGTTCTCTCTGGGTTCTCCAGCTTCCTCGCACAAGGTCCAAAAACATGCTGAGGTTAATTGGTGATTCTAAATTGTCCGTAGGTGTGAATGTGAGTGTGCTTGGTTGTCTGTCTCTAAGTGTGGCCCTGTGATAGACTGGTGACCTGTCCAGGGTGTCCCCTGTCTTCACCCTGAGTCAGCTGGGATAGACTTCAGCCCCCCACGACCCTAGTGAGGATTAAGGTGTATAGATAATGAATGGATGGATGGATCTATCAGTATACAGAGAGAGAAAGTAAGTGCCATAAGCAGAACTGTTTTTTTTTTTTTTGTCCCAATCTTTATTGCTTCACTTGATCTCAGCAGGAGTTTCTTTCATATTTACATGCCTAAAAAGTTTTCCATGATGTAGAAAATCAGTCTGACACAGTTAATCAACAAGCATCACATCTTAGAATGAAGCAGCTGATATAATGAACAAGACTTCAGTCGTGTTTTTAACCCACTGCATATGAGTTACTCCGCAGCCAGATGCAGAGGATGGTGATGAAACTGACGCTGATGAAGAGGATGTAGAGGCCGAACAGGAGACGGTCCACCACCGTCCCAATCATCTGCCACTCCTGCGAGGCTTTGGTCCCCTGGATGTAATTGTCCACCTGCTGTCGGATGCCTGCGATGTCTCTGCTCAGCCTCCTCAGTTCATCCAGCATCGGATCCAGAGGGGGAGGAGGGAATGAAGGGGGCTTTACTGGAGAGCTGCTCTGACTCCCTGAGGTGTCTGTGTTGCCTTTACCCATCACTGGCTCTGCCAAAAACAAACTGCGTGTCAGGATTTCTGTAAAATAACTTATCAGTCATACAAGAGTGAATCTAAGAAAGTCAAAATAGGAAAAGAAATGTGTTATCACTGCTTGAAATCAGTGCTTAAAGTTGGCATAAACTACTGGTAACCATGGCAACAGTTTCTGTATTATGTAGATCTCTATGCCTATGTATATTTTATTTCTATTTTTCTATTTCTTAGCTGTTTATCACTCCTCAAATTTGAAAAAACTATCAACAGCAAGCAAGAAAGAAATTTTCGCCCTGATTTCAGAAATAGAACATTTTATGTGCATTACCGCCACCTACCGGACTGGAGTTACCTATAGTTTTGCGAGATCTTGCAAAAGATACCTCTAGTTTTTCCCCCCTCTCCCTGTTTTTTTTCTTTCTCCATTTCCCTTCCAGGGCTCCGTATCTCTTCACTAATCTGACGCAAAATATAAAAAATTGATCAGTGCATAAAAAACAGTGATTCTACCTGGAGTGCGTCGCCTTTAATGTTGTCATAAGTAAACACACAAGAACCAAAGAAAGGCTTCAACCTCACCTGAACCTACTGAACAAGGGGATTAGAAGAGCTGTTTGCATTTGTACACAATCACTATGTGTTCTAGTGATTCTCAACAGCAGCCACAGATTCATTACAGTCTTTGTGTTTTCTGTGGAGTCAAATACTACGGGGGCCTGTGGATAATCAAGACGTCTGCTCAGAAGTCCATTTTCATGCCAACATGCTTTTTTGTGTTTTGAAGGCTGATTAATATGAAGAGAGGAAATTCACTATCTTAAAAAACAAAAGGCAAAGAAGCAACACACACTGTATTCTGCATAAACTTATTGGTTCACAATGAACAGCGACCAACACTTAGTCCGTCAGATGTAACATTTAATTCATCAAAACATTCTTTCATGACTTCTTCTGTCGTCTCGTGTTGTTACCGTCACAACAGAAACGTACCTTTGGCGGCCGGGTTGAGGACGACTGTGACTCGGCTGCTCTCTTTCTTTGGAGGGAGACACACGACCGGAGCCAGATAATGCAGCACCAGGATGCTGAGCCAGTGAGGGAGGGCGCTGTACTGCCTGGAGCTGAACTGGATGTTTGTGATCAGCACCGTCTCCAACAGGCTGGTCACCATCAGAGCCAGGCTCAGCGAGAAGAAAACACCTGCAGCAGGAACAATGAGGATTCAGGGTGAGTTTCATTCAACTGTCCCAGACTTAGACTCACAAATGTGGGGCTTGAACTCCAGTGACCTTGTTTTCAGACTCATCTTGGTCATTGGGAAGATGTCCTGTTTACGCTAAGGCCGGAGAAACCGGCAGTTTGTCTCCTTGTTTAGATTCTGAGGTGTGACTTTAGAACCACATCGTCTTCAAAGTCAACACGCTGCCTGAAGCGGTTTTAATGAAGGTGGAGTCCAGCGGCAGGTGGAACTTCAGTTTGTACAGTTTTACAGAACAGCTGTAAGTCTTTTCATCACAACGTAGTCCAGGTAGAGTTCAGTAGAACTACTTTCCAATGAAACAGAATTTTCCATAAACGTGACAACAAAGATGTTCCTCATCACTCGACTAATTCTATAATCATTCTAGTGACTCTTCAGCAAAACGTAATTCCTGTTTTTTTTTTACTAACACAATACAAAGGAGGTGAATGAAATTCAACTTGTGTGGTTTGTAGCCGGGGCTGCAAGGTGGAGCGGCGGCTAGTGTCGTTGCCTCGCAGCTAGAAGGTCGCCGGTTCACGTCGAGGAAACCAGGATCTTTCTGCGTGGAGTTTGCATGTTCTCGCCGTGCAGCGTGGGTTCTCTCCGGGTTCTCCGGCTTCCTCCCACAGTCCAAAAACATGTTGAGGTTAATTGGTGATTCTAAGGTGTGAATGTGAGTAGATAGACTGGTGACCTGTCCAGGGTGTCCCCTGCCTTCACCCTGAGTCAGCTGGGATAGACTCCAGCCCCCCAAGACCCTAGTGAGGATTAAGCGGTGTATAGATAATGGATGGATGGATGTTGGATCCTGGAGAAACGCTCTCTCATCTGACAATAAAACTTGATTAGATTTAAAAAAAAAAAACAACCTGATAATAAACACTTCCCGTCCTGGCTGATATTCACATATGAGTTAAAACTTTCAACTTCTAATCCACACACATGCAGCGGTACATGTCAGGAGAAGTCATGCTTCTTTCAAATTGCTGTTGAATTCAATACATAACAGAGTCCCAGCTGTCACTCACTGATGAGAGGAGTGCTCTCCCCGGTGGCCGGCAGCAGGTCGTTCATGATGAGCAGGAAGACGGTGTAGCCCAGGATGAGGGTCATCTTGAAGGAGGACCGGTCGACGCTCTGTGGAGGCAGCAGGAAGCTGAAGAGATCCACGGTGATGAGGAAGCAGCTGGGGATCAGGAGGTTCACCACGTACAGGATGGGCCGGCGTCTGAGAATGAGCTGTGGGACGAGACACACAGGTACAGAACCTCAAGATTTTAGTCACACTTCGTCCGTGTACCTTCATTTTGTTTCCCTAAAAAAGTGCCTTTTACCACTTTCAGGTTTTTCTGCTTTTTGGGTTTTTTGTTATTGTGTCTGTGACCTGTGCTCGAAGTACATTTTAATTTACTAGTTGAATGACAATAACGTAAATCCACCCATCCATCCATCCATCCATCCATCCATCCATCCATCCATCCATCCATCCATCCATCCATCCATCATCCATCCATCCATCCTTCATCCATCTATTCATCATCCATCCATCATCCATCCATCCATCCATCCATCCATCATCCATCCATCCATCCACCCATCCATCATCCGTCCGTCCATCCATCCGTCCATCCATCCATCCACCCACCCATCCATCCACCCACCCATCCATCATCCATCCATCCATCATCCATCCATCCATCCATCCATCCATTCATCCATCCATCCATCCATCCATCCATCCATCATCCATCCATCCATCCATCCATCCATCCATCCATCCATCCATCCATCCATCCATCCATCCATCCATCCATCTCATTTGCTTTAGATTTTTTGTGTATTATCCTGCTAAAGCTTTTGTTTTTAATGTGTAAATGACGTCCACATCAAAAGCAATATTTTTATTAACGGGAATTCATTCTTTTACGTCTGACCATTATATTATGTCATTATACTTATGCATTGTATGACCATCAGTTAATAAAAAGTGCTCACGAAGTACTTGATCTCAGAGTAGCTTCCCTCGTCTAGATCCAGACTGAACTCGGCTATGGTGATGTCCGTGAGCTCCCACTCCCCGTTGGTCTGCAGCACCTGTCTGGACTCCTCCAGGATCTCCTCAGACGTGCTGCCTTTAATCATCATGATGTCTGTGGCTTGAACGATGTTTAAGCGACACAGAAGCACAAAAAGTTTGTTTAATGTTCACATGCAATGCAATATTATAGCCGACATGTTAGCCTTACCATAGTGAAGATATGATCCAAAGGTCAGCGAGCAGTTTTGGATGTCAAAGGGGAAAGTGTAGATTCCTAACTTGCATGAACTGACCACTTTGATCGGCTTGTCATCGTATACATGACCCGTGTTGTATAAGTAGACGTAAGGCGTTATAGGAAATTCGTCTTCATCCATGCTGGAATAAAAAAGGATTATTTATTAACTTTGAACTCAACGAAATGTATTGAAAAAGTCGATTAAAAAAAAAAATAAAAAAAGAAAAAGATCCATAATATTGTCCTGCATAGAGATTTAGCTGTCAGGTTTAAAGGTCTGCATTTCTACTAATATTAATTTTTTTTTTTTTTTTTAATTCAAAAAGTCTGTCTAATCTGAAAATAATTTCAGCTAGCATAGAAAAGCATCAAAATGCTGTAAACGTACAACTCTGCGATGTGAATGTCTGGAACCCAAAGCTTTTCCCGAGGAACAGAGATTCTTTCCGTTCCACATTGCTTCTGATCCCAGCTCAGTCCCTCTATTTCCCACTCCTGCGTTAAACAGAACAAAAGCCGGCGAGATGTGCAGCTTATAAAATGACTTAACAGGTAAGCTTCCATTTAAAATGCTTGGTATGGTGACTAAAAAATTATTTAAAAATTAAGACACGTGATCGGTTTATCTTCAGCTACAAACAAAAACTGAAGCAAAAAGAAGAATTTATGAGATGTTTCAGTCTAATCGAGTTAAACGTTACGGCTTTAATTAGACAAACACTTATGACATGTCCTAAAAATGTTGGCCTACCAGGACTTGCCATAAGACTGTGGTCAGTGTTTGGCTTTTTTCATCCTGCAAATGAAACGTATTTAAAATGAATCACAATCAGAGCAATTGTGAATTGAAATATCCAGATATCTGTGGACCGTGGAGACTCACCACTCCTAAAATCCCCACCACAGTGATGCTGATGGTTATGTTCATCGGATGTGAAAGGCTTTTGACAGGTCGCACCAGATTGTTCAAAAACAGGCTCTTCTTAAATTCTCTGATGAGGGAGGAAGGAGTTGGGCTGCTGCAGTTCAAAGCTGCTGCAAAACCTGAGTTCAGAAACAGCAGACAAAATTCACAATATAACTCAAATGCATGAACAAAAGTGTTCAGGCCAAGTTCTTGTATTGGTGCCGACAGAAGAATTGCAGATCTTTATTCTTCTGCTAGAATAATAATAATTTAACATTTAACCCTCCAGTTACCTTCAAATTTACTGATGTCTTTTATCGTTGGGTTCAGTTTGACCTCAGCTGTTTAAACCTCCAGAAAATAATCAGAATTAAAATTGTTGCCCAAGTTTATGTGTAAACAGCCCTTTAAATATAACTAAAAACAATTATGTCAGTGACTTATTTAGAAATGTTAAACACTGAATAAGGTTAAATTGACCCCAAAGATAACAGGAGGGTTATTACAGTTACCTGAAATCACCTGTCGAGTTTTGTTTTATGCTTAATAAACACAAGCAACAGAGTTTGCACACAGTCTGACAACCGATGTCAAATATTAAGTTAGGATAAGATAACCACCAAAAGATACGATACGATACAATACGATAAGTTAAGTTAAGTTAAGTTAGGTTAAGTTAAGCTAGGAAAAGATAAGATAAGATAAGATAAGATATGTTGAGTTGAGATGAGATGGGATATGATATGATATAATACGATACGATAAGTTAAGTTAAGTTAGGATAAGACAAGATAAGATAAGACAAGATAAGATAAGATAAGATAAGATAAGATAAGATAAGATACGATGAGATGAGATGGGATATGATATGATACAATACGATAAGTTAAGTTAATCATCTCATGAGATGAGATAAGCCTTTATTTATCTCACAGTGGAGAAATTCACCGTGTTGTCAGCAAAAACCCCCCAAAAACTAATGAAAAATAACAAATCTCATAAACAGCAAGGACTGAAACTGAAATATTAGCAGCTAAATTAAATTATCTATTAGCTAATACACCCATCTATTTATTTCACATATTTAACTCATTTAATCAAATAAGTATGTATTTTAAAGATGCTGTTGGCAACTTACGGATCTGTTTCTTGCATCTTATGTTAGAAGCATAAAGCAAGAACTCTTTTTTACTTTACTATTTTCAGACTGCACAACTTTTAAAGTAACTGTAGATAAAACTTGATATTTATTTTAAAGTACACAAACAAAAGCAACCAAAGCGATTCCTAAACTACCGGCTCGGCTTCCAACAGATTGTCATCTTTGCTTATTTTGTTGATGGTCTTCTCGTCTTACCGTGAAGCAGCGTGAAACAGATGAAGATGATCTCTGCAGGCTTCATCTCTGCCGTCCTCGGTCTCCGCTAAGCCTTCAGTGCTACCATGACAGAATAATGCAAAGTGAAAAGTCTGAAGGAGGCGTCTTGCTGGAGCTATCTGTGATATCTATAACTAATATTGACTTTGTGTGACTTCAGCCGTTGGGGATTTCTAACTGCATGCACAAATGCACACATATAATATCTAACATTATGTAATCGGTGTTTGGATTTACAACTGGTTTTTAAATCAGCATCAGGTGGATTTTTATTCTGCAAGTCAGCAGCTTGAATTGGTGACAAGCGGTGGTAAAGCAAAGGAAACGCACCGGGCTGGTTGATGTGTCAGTGTGTTGTATCAATATCATCTTATTTGATTTTGTGTTGCAAGAGTGAGAGAAAGTATGAATGAAGGTCCTTCATTCATACAATCACAACACATGGTTCAGCTTTTCTCTGCAACCAAATGTTTTCCATACAGAATAAGTTGGGTCAAGACTGCAGAGCGCACGGTGACTAACAATGAGCATCCGTGTTAGTGGTTTATTGGTAATATAATATTTACCCAGTTCACTGTCCTTGTTTAACATGTCAGCATGTGATAATTAGTAAAACAAACAAACTGAGTGTTATTAGTTCTGAAGGTATCTCATGATAAACCAGAGCGTCGGGGATTATAATTTGAGATGAAAAGTTATCACTAAACTGATGGTTGATCTGAAGAAAGATTTGGAATGTGTGACCCAAATTTAATTAGACTCTAATTGTTGTTGACGTATTGGACTGGAAAAGTGAAAACCTTGACCTGCTGGTGGCACGAGAGGAAGAGAATCACTAAAGTCTTAAGGATGCATCCTCTGGGGACCATGATTAAGGGTACAAAACGCATAGTCTCAGTTTGGCTCAAAGAGGACCATCAGTGCCCCCCTGTCCTCCCTTTATGACCTGTATTCCTCCAGAGTGAGGGCAGGAAAAATCCTCACCGACCCCTTCCACCCAGGTCATCACCTCTTTGACCTGCTGGCGCTTCAGGCCTCTAAGCATCCAAACATCCCGGCACCGGAGCAGTTTCTTCCCCCAGGCCGTATCCCTCATGAACAGCCAGTAAACCACTAAAGACTTCTGTTGCACTACCTCTGTGCATTCACCATTAGATGTGTAATTCCTCAACTTCATGTGCAATACTGTAACTTAAACTGTTTCCTAATTTATTACTTGGTTCAGGTAAGTTTACGTCTCTTTTCACAGTACTTTTTATTTACGTAGTACTTTTATGCTTTTCCTTTACATATTTTATTTAGGGCTGCAAGGTGGTGCAGTGGTTAGCGCCATTGCCTCGCAGCAAGAAGGTCGCCGGTTCACATCCTGGTGAGGACGTCTAGGATCTGTCTGCATGGAGTCTCCATGTTCTCTCTGGGTTCTCCGGCTTCCTCACACAGTCCAAAAAATTGATTCTAAATTGTCCGTAGGTGTGAATGTGAGTGTGCTTGGTTGTCTGTCTCTAAGTGTAGCCCTGTGATAGACTGCTGACCTGTCCAGGGTGTCTCCTGCCTTCACCCTGAGTCAGCTGGGATAGACTCCAGCCCCCCACGACCCTAGTGAGGATTAAGCGGTGTATAGATAATGGATGGATGTATTCTGTGATTTAGGGAGGCTTTCGATACGTTTCAGTCTGTTTGTTGTATTTTCATTGGTACATATACAGATAGATATATATGTTTAAAGCAAGAAAGGGCAATGACTTCATTTTGTTTTATGTTTACTTTATTTTTTAGTTTTCCAACCACAAACCCAAAGTTAACTTGAAATAAAACCTTGGTAGGTATTTGAAAGAGATTACAACTATATCATACCAGACCAACAGCACATAGTCTCTGTCCATGATAACGGTGGTGAGAATTACAGTCCTAAAATCACTGTACTGAACCAGTGTACTGCCACATGTGCAGGGTATTCACTCAAAAAATCAAACAAAGCTCAAAAAACTTCCACGAACAACAACTGATTAATAAAACATGCCAGATGCTTCTTAGTTTTTAGAACCATTTCGACATCCCTATGAACTGATCTAAGCCCTGGTTCACATCTGACCCGTGTCCACTCAGGACTGGCTGATCCAGACGCACCACATGGAGATGATGACCAGAGCGTAGCAGGTGATGAGCAGCAGATAGATGCGGAAGAGCAGGAAGTCGAGGACGTATCCCACGTGGCACCACTGGTCCTGCAGCTCGCTCTCCTTCTGCAGGGAGGTGAGGTGAAGGCGGAGGTCGCCCAGGTACTGACAGATCTGCTGCAGCTCAGGAGGAGCAGCTGCACCTGACAGGAGGGTGGAGGTTTAGGCCAAACTGAGTTAAAACAGGTCGCTAACCATATTTACATTTTTACAGAGATTAGCTGTTATGATGTATTTACTCACAATATCTACCATGTGTAGTAAGTGTGTATACCTGCACCAGGTGACCAAAAGAAAATTAGTGCACCAACAAATTACAGTCATGACTCAACATTCAGACCCTTAACAATCCAAAAACCTTGATATCCGACAGTTTTTTAGGAAAAATGAACAGAACCCATAAAAAATAGCCTTAACATAGCGACAGCCTTGGATTCCGACTCCGACGTGACATTTGATGTCACAAATAAGGATAACAGTGTATTATCTGACTGAACAATCCCACAGATTGGCTACGTTCAGGCTGCAGGACTTGATGCTCAATTCCGATTTTTTTTCTGATATATGATTTTTTTGCGAGTTTGTTCACATTTACAATTAAATGCGACTTGTATGTGATCTGCTGTGTGAACTTCATGCGACCCAAAAGTATCCCGCATGCGCAGAAGGGGACACGACGATGTCACACACAGTGAGCGTGCTCAGTGCTTACCGAAGTAAACATGGATGGTAATGGTGGAGTGTATCTGCCACTCCCCTGCCGCCGCCACCACAGATGGTGGAAACAGACCTGTGACCACTAACTCAACTGTCATCAGCGGCCAAGTACTGCCTGCGTGTTCTGGACACTTCCACCCCGTCAGAGCGCTCCCCCGGGGTGGAATTAGCCCAATTGGCACAAGCTCACCCGTCAAAGGTGTGAAATCCAGCAATGCGTCGTGTTCTAACACTACAGTAGTTATTAAAACAGCTATAAACAATAAATATTAACAACAAATGAGCCTTCCAGCATCGAGCCCTCCTTGTATCTCGACCTCCGTCTTGACAATCCGACAGCCTTGCTATCCGACATAAAAGAAGGTTTTACATTTAGTGTCGGATTATCGAGTCACGACTGCACATTAACAATAAGGGTGAGGCTTGATTCAACTGCTTTTTATTGGAACATTTGATCGTTAATATTTATTCTTCTGTCCATATGTAAATAAAACAAAGTCACACCCACATTTGAATTTAACATTGTGTGACTATTTTTGGAAGAAATATTAAAGCTCTTAAAGCCAAAGAGGTGTTTACAGACTGTTTACAGGGCTGATTGCTTTTGACTGGACGCTGCTGCAGATATTTAGTAGAAACCAGTTCACTCAGTACCACAATCTCTGACAGTTGTGACATATTTCTAAATTTTAACAGTGCAATCCAATTTGCATCCTGCTGAACTTCGGCAGGATGCAAATTTAGAAAATAAGTTTATTAAGACTTCAGCTGCTCTGACTGTTGCTGTAAATTGGACTTGTGAAGCCAAACTGAGGTGTATACACTGAGTTGTTTTCTTTCTTTTTTCTTTTTCTAGCGATCCTCACGTCTTTCAGTAAACAAGAGCTGTCGTTTCTCTTTGCTCAGCAGTTCTTGCCAGAATATAGGTTGCTGCAGCAGTGGGACGGGGCTATTTGCTGTAAATCAACACTCCCTTGTTACGACGCAGTGGAGACGACTTATGTCATTGCCAACAGTGGAAACTAGTCATCAAGGCAAACTGCGGCTCTTTTTAAACATATTTATGCTTTGTTTACCCTTGTCTTCCACCACATAACTCCATTTAACAGTAAACATAAAGAAAGCCCGTTAAATGAGTAGACGTGTCTAAACTTTTCACCGGATCCGAATAAATTAAAAAGCTGCTCATCGTTTGTTTTAGATGATCAGGAGATTAAGGATGAATAAAAACAGCGCTGAGACAAAGCATTCGTAAATTGGTGATTCGTTGTTGCTGTGAGGTCTGTGGACTATTTGGTGTTTTTTGGGTTTTTCTCTGTGTTTCAGTGGGTGTGACTCTCTGTTTCTCTGCAGGCTGGCCGGAGCCGATCGGGGAGGGACGCTGGCAGCTGTGGCTCATCGGCTCATCAGCCGCTCCCTGTTCAAATACGGGCGTTTCACAGCAGTCCGGCGCCAGATGACTGTGATACCTACCCTGTGGTACAGTCAGGCCGCTAGCTGCGACACTTCGCTGAGCATTCCTAGCATTTATTGATGTTCTCTAGTCTCGAGCTTATCGTATGTTTTTCTCTGCCTGTCTCCAGCGTCCCTCCTTGGCTCCAGCACTCAGCACTCCTCCAGGCACACCAGCGTTTTGCACCCTCGGGAATTCACGACCACGGGCACCTTCACCGGGAGAAACTTCACGAGAGCAACCACCCACGACCACCGGACCCCTGCGCACCACCCTGGTTTCCCTCTTCACGGCTCCCTCTCTGCACCAGGAAAACCTCCACGGACGAAGGCACACACGGGCACCGGATCTTCTCGCACCACCCTCGGAACCCTCCTTCATGGACCACGGCACAGAAGACCCCCACTCCTCCCTCACCACGATTGGCATCCCTGCACCAAATAAACCTTTAACTTAGCCTTTTTTCCCCTGTCTCCCTTTTCGTTGCGGATCCGCCCTCACAGTCACCGAGCACGACCCGTCACAGTTGCAGGCTGTAGAAATAACCCTGTTTCTGTTTTGCTAAATTACCTTAAGGCACTTCCAGTTTGCCAGAGCAATGTCAGATTAGTGTTTCTCATATGCTGAGTCTTTCTGATTACCTCCGTTGCTGGTCGGTTGCTGGTCAGGAGCTCGGCCGGCTGGCTGGATGATCTGTGGGCCTGAGCTTCCATTTGTGCTTTCAGGTTTGTCCCTCTGCGACATGGAAGGAGGCCGGACGTCCTCCGGCCAGCGGTAGCAGATGAGGGTGGCTATGTGTTTGAGGACGACCACCCTCACCCAGTTTGGAACCTCCTGATACTTCATGGAGCTGTGGTGGAGGACGTTGGTGATGATGACGGTCTCCAGCAGACTGATGACCATGAGGGCCAGACACACTGAGAAATAGATGCCTGGATTGAAGCACAAACATTCAAGAGGTCAAAAGCTTTTGAAAACAGTTTATATTTCTGTTAACCATCTGCTAAATGGTATTTTAGGAACCCTCTTCCCCCCTGGGCTGTGTTAGGGAGCAACCTATGATGGGAGTGCCGTTGGCTGTGCTGGGCAGCAGGTCGTTCATGATGAGCAGGAAGACGGTGTAGCCCAGGATGAGGGTCATCTTGAAGGAGGCCCGGTCGACGCTGTGTGGCGGCAGGTAGAAGGACAGGATGTCAATGAGCATGAGGAAGGAGCTTGGGATGAGCAGGTTGACCACGTAGAGCACCGGACGCCGCTTTATGACCACCTGGTGAACAGCAGGGGTACATCCAGTTTACATGCATGTTGACGTAATCCTTTGATTTTCCATTCACTTTGTTGTAGCTCCAGGAATAAACACCTTGATCATTAGATGCTACAGTCTGCGTTGTGTTCGTTAGCTAGTCTTCAACTGTGTCTGTCCTAAAAAGTCATGTCGCTAAGTCTTGATTTTCTAACACCTAAATCAGAGTCAGGATGAGGTACAAAAGTCTTGTTTCCTCTTAGACTTTTTACTTTATTTTGAAAGGTTATTGTGATTTTTTTGCCCAATGATGCCACAAAATGCCTCCTGTCCCAGATTTAAGTAGTCTTTGTTGCTATACATCTGTTACCAAGATGTTTTGTTAAAAGCAACATATCTGTTGATGTAAACTGAGTAAAAGCAGGTTTCTCTGACCCAGAAGGTGATGATGTCCCACTCGTCGATGCCAAACTGAAGGATGGACGTCTCTCCCAGTATGTCCACCAGCTCCCACTCTCCACTGGCTTCCAGGTAACGTTTTGAGTTTCCAGACATCTCCTCAAAAGTCAGGGCTGGACTGACCCTCACGTCCCGTACTACAAAAAGAGAAACTTACTGACCATAGACAGACATTCATGCCCTTGGGGAAATCCTAGGGTCAGTGTAAGCCAACCTAAATCCCTAACTAGACTGCATGACAAGTGAGTCTGACTTATTGCATGGTTTAAATTTCCGTTTTACTTATGTATATACAGTGCTGCCCACTTCCTGTCGAACCGCTTTATGGAATATCCCGTTTATAATCATAAAACCTTCAAGTCCCGAATCATTTCCTGTATAAGCTATAGTAAAACAGCCCGTTTATTGTCATAGAATAATGTCATAGTCCTGGTTTTTGCCGTGACAAAATTCCCCGAAATTGATTCCAGGAATAACTTTTGCCCGTTTAAAGTCGTGGTTGGATGTTACGTCTCACAGTCGGTCATGTGTGGCAGATTGTCACACCCCGGTCAGCCACGGAAGTCAACGCGTTGGTTTGTTTGTCAATTAGCTCCGATATACGCTCCGATTAAAGGAAATAACTTTTATTGATGGGGTGGCTTTTCGTACAGACAAAGGTGGAATTTCACCGAAGCAAAACCATAAAGCTCAGTTTGAATAAACATTTCTTGATCTTCAAACAAACTGTCCTTTTGATCTTGTGAGAACATTCCCATTTTGGCTTTATGTATAAATCCCCATTTTTCATCCCACAGACACAATTTTCTCAGTGCTCTATCATTGGGGACACTCCGATACCCTAATCTTGAAGCCTGCTTATTGAAATATCCCGGATGTAGTCATAATTCCATCCTGGACCGAGGATATGATAATAAACGGGCAGCACTGTATTTGTATTCCCTTTGTTTACCCACTGTTTAGTCACCTTTGGGTTTGATTAACTTAAGCAAATGAATGAGCTTCATGTTTGTGTGATTATGCATAATGTTCAGAGGCCCCTTTCTTACTGGTGTGCATGTAGGAGCCAAATGTGAATGTGCAATTCTGCACGTCAAAAGGAAAACTGAAGATCTCCAGGTTGCAGGCGGAGACGAGCCGCAGCATCCTGTCCCAGCGGATGTGACCTGTGTGGTTAACGTAGACGTACGGACACGCCTGGGAAACATCGTCATCCACACTGGGAGGGTTGGAGGTGGAAGAATCAGGAAGTAGCAAAGGAATAAAAAGGAAGCACAATGATGGATTACTGACGGGCTCAACTTTGGATTCTGGATTTACAGACAAATTCTATCAGGGACACTGTAAAACGCAACTAGAAATATTGCAAATTAATCTGAGCAGAACGTTAGCTAATCAACCAACCCCTTAATATCGGCCTACTTTCTGGTTCTGAGGAAAAGTGTTTGGCAAATCCTGGACCTCTGTTCCCTCAACTTGTAGAACATGTAGATTCCAGATCTGTTGGACATTAGCTTCACTCCCAGAGGGCCGGTCACATCTTGTATGTTCAATACAGGTATTTGCATAATGTCCAGGGGAGGAGCACAGCCCATGACTCATGCACCATTTAGACCAATGCTAGATCTCCCTGCATACAGACAGAAACAGCCCTGTTGACTGTGGTACCCCTGAGGACAAGTGATCCTCCTCCTGGTGTCGCCTCTGGGACTGAAGTCTGTGCTGCCACCTCAGGGAGCAACGCTGCACCTGGTTCACAAGTCCAGGGCCGTCATTTTAGTATCTTCAACTTTTTATTGCACCAGATTTTCATCTTCACCTAATTTAAATTGGATTTAAGGATCTTTGGCCAGATCCGGGCCCACCTCGTGCTTGACGGGTTCAGAAAACATGCAGTTGTTCTTTTCAGGCTGCACTTTCAAACAGTAGATCTCACGGGGGGAGGAAGTGACTGATATACAGCACACACCACCCCAACTGTGTGCTTGTCATGCCCTAAAATCCTTTTCCAGTTGAACTTACAACTCATAAACGATGATGTCCGGAGACCAGAGCTGCTTCACGGGTAGAGAAATCCTGGTGACGCCGTCGCACTCATCAGGCTCCCAAACCAGGAACTCGTGGTGCCAGTACTGCCGAGAATTAATCAGACACAATGTACTGTTAAACTTCCAACATCTCTAAGTTTCTAACGTCTGTTAACGTCAGGTTATGTTTATGTATTTCAATGCCACTTACCAGTCTGAGCCACAAGAAAGTAGTGAGTATCTGGGTTTTCTCATTCTGAAATACAGTGAACAAGGGGCAAACCTCGTGTGATGCTGATTGCTACCACTTAAGTATCTTACAACAGTAACAACACAACACCTGACAATCAGTAATATTAACTGAATTTTTAAAAATCATTTTGTTTTAGTAAACATTCACAGATCTGCGTTTAAGTTGTCCGATGTTGTTGATGTCATGTATGTTCCTTAAAGTGTCCATGAAGAGACTCACCACTCCGAGGACAGCGTACAGGGTGAAGGAGATGTTGGTGATGGTGGGATTGCTGAGGTTTACGGCCGGCCTGAAGGGCTGCAGGTCGAACACGGCCTGCATGGACTCGTAGGTTGGACCGCTGTGACCCTCTTTACAAGGCAGTTTACTGAAACACACAGACGCTAAAACACAAAATGTTTAGTGTTGCTTAAATTTCACAAATTGCACTTTAATCTCTCCAGTGATGGAGGATTTTGACAAATGAAAACTGTAAGGCAATAAGAATCTACGTAAAACAAATGCTTGCTTTTCGATTTGAAATCTAAATCATTATAAAATATTTTCTAACCACAAAATTAACCAGAACATTAATGCACAGTTAAATATATGAGAAAAGGCCAGAATTATTTGGAAAATGCTGATTTAAACACATCTTTAAATGTGACTTCCTACTTGAGTTTGCTGAACGATTCCTTTTTTTTGAAACCATCAAACTGTGAAATATGTCGGATGGACAACAAAAATAAATATGACACCCATATCTTTGCACAACAAGGATGCTTTAACCTGAACCTGACAGGACAAAGTGTTTGACTAAAGAACCTTTTCATTTAGCTAAACATGCTTCAGTCTGGAAAATAAACTCCAAACAACAAAGAAGGGAGTAAAAGCAGATTGTTATTACCTGACATTAAGATGAGGCCTGCGATGAAGCTCTGAGGAAACAGACTCATGCTGGACGTTTGCGACGGACTGAATGTTCTCCACAGCCATCGACCTAATAATAAGGAAAGCTCCTCCTGGCAGTGCACACACATACATCCACTTCTTTTCTTACAGAACGGGACGCTGTAATCACAAACATTTATTCTCTGGAGATTTAACACCACCGTCACTGCAAGTACTGCATGAATCATCCTGTAACATAACTGCAACCGAATCCCAATCTTAAACCAAACAAAAACCAAAGTAAATCACTTCGATGGAGCTTTTAGCATATCTTACCAGTTTTTTATTTTGTGTGCTGTAACATACATGTAATCACCTGCAGACTATAAACACACCATCGGGCAAATTACAATGGTAGACAGCATTTAGTTAAATATTAAACATGCAGACAGATTTTCAAACATCTCTATTGCAATCAATCAGGCTGTTTCCTTCCGTTTGACCACAATTGATCCTCAAAAATAGATAGAAATGAGTACAAATGCAAAACAAACAAGATTTCCGTATGTGCAGATGGCTGATAAAAAACATGCAGGACAGCACAGAACTTGTTGGTTCACACCTCTGGTAACCAGTCACCCATTTTATTTTTCAACACCTCCACCTGCGGGAATTACAGTCTGATTCATCCAGTGTTGTGTACCGAGCTGTCGGACCCTTATTTTATCCTCTTTTAGAATCCTGAAATGCAGAGATCAATAGTTAACATATACCGTAATTTTCGGACTATTGAGCGCACCTGAATATAAGCCGCACCCACTAACTTTAAACTGTGTACATATACAGGCGGCACTTGTCTGTAAGCTGCAGGTGTCCACGTTGTAACAGGAGATATTTACACTGAAAGATTTTCTAAACTTTTAATTAGATACGTACCGGTAACATACACAAATACGTAAATGCTTTTCTCCCCGAACAGTGTCTGTAATACGGCTGGTTAAGAAAATAGAAACTACAGCAGCCTACCAGGAAAAGTCATTGATTTCTATCTTCATCTTCCTCCTGAAAACCACTAAAGTCGTCTTCTTCAGTGTTGGAGTTGAACAGCTTCAGAATGACTTTGTCACACACTTCCTCAGTCTCTCTTTTGTTGCCGATCTCAATGTCACTTTGGTCTCGAGGCAAATTCGTAAAAATCGTAAAAATTCATAAATTAGCCACATCAGTGTTCAAAGCGTGTGAAAAAAGTAGCGACTTATAGTCTGGAATTTACGGTAGTTTTGGGATATGTGGAACCATAAACAGTCCTTCTATGAGGCTTAAAGGTAATGCATGGTGTTTCAAAATTCAATTTGATTTATATGATGCCAATTCACAACGTTCACATCAAGGCACTTCACACAGTGCGGGGAAGTCCTTATGCAGTGAAATCCAACAAAGCTCAAGTTCTTGGGATTCTCTTTTAGCAAGCACTTGGCAACTTTGGGGAGAAAGAGATGAACAGGCTTTGTGCGACATCCTTATCATCAGAACTCGTGGAATCATCTGTTTTTAAAGAATGTAATTGTTTAAATGTGGAGTTGACTCGACGATTAAGGGAGTTTTGTTTTGATCATATTTAGAAATACGAAAGCCCATGAGGCTGGACTTCTTGCATTTCATTTTGTTTATCCTGTACCAAATTAGTAAAATTTAGAATGTTGTACAAAAACTCCTCAAGTTCCTTATCATGACTCCAACGTCACCATCGTATGCCGCCAAACTTTTGCTGGTGATCAATACAATTACATGATTTAACTCTCTCACCAAGTCAAATGCTGCCATGGCTGTACGAGTTACTCAGGTACCAGACACATATGATGGTCACAAAGCTGACTGAAATGAAGACGATGTACATGCCAAACAGCAGGCGGTCGATGACAACCCCGATCATCTGCCATTCCTGTGTGCTTTTTGTCCCCTGTAGGTAGTTGCTGATGTGAAGGCGAATGGCTGCGAGGTCTCTGCTCAGCTTCCTCAGTTCGTCCAGAGGCGGATCTGAAGGCGGTTTCTCTGGAGGTTTGTCAGCAGAGTGACTCCGAAGGTCAGTCGATGAGATGATGCTGGCGCTCATTTCTGGTTTTGTCAAAAATCAAGAGTAGAGCAATAACGTCATAAACGACATGACCCTACAATTCTACGACAATTCTACAGTTTCATTTAGCAGACGCTTTTATCCAAAGTGACGTACATCTGAGAGCAGATACAACACAAGCAAAGATCTAGTCAGGAGGAAACAGTCTAGATAAGTGTTATAGAACAAGATCAAGTGTGATAGGGCGCTGATGCCAATAGCAGGCTGTGTGGGAGGGAATAGGATTTTCTTTTTTGTTTGTTTTCAGTCTGTCAAGTGCAAAGGTGTTCAGGGAAGAGCTGGTCTTTAGTCTTTTCTTAAAGACTGAGAGGGAGTCAGCAGATTGAACAGAGTTTGGTAACTCGTTCCACCACCGGGGAACCACAGAGGAGAAGAGTCCAGCTATCAACCTTGGACCTGTTGTGGTGGTTGGATCAAGTGGTTTTTGTTGGCTGAGCGTAGTGAGCACAGGGAGTGTAGACCTGAATGAGAGAGTTCAGGTAGGAGGGAGCTGTTCTCGTTGTGGATTTGTAAGCAAGTGTCAGGGTTTTGAATTTGAAGCAAGTGAAGTGATCTGAACAGCGGGGTGACATGTGCTGCCTTTGGCTGGTTGAAAACCAGACGTGCTGCTGAATTCTAGATGACCCATTGCAAAAAAAAAAAAAAAAAAAGGCAGGTAATACTCATCAAATGTGAATTGACTTAAAGAAACAGCATCCTTTCTCAAGATTTAGAACAGGGACAACAGCAAAAGACAGCAAACTTGGGCTAGCAAACAAAAACTCTGGTCTGACACAGAAACACACACATAAAAACACACCCTATGTCTTATTCCAGACATTTCAATCACACCTCATCGTATTCTTCACTATGTGTGTAAGTGTGCAGTGGTCATAAATACCATGTGGTAATTCCATGTTTAGGTCACATGACAACAACAGCAGCAGCATTTCAGAAAGCAGCCAATTAAAAAGAAGTCACAGGTCACCTGCTTGATAAAAAGTTGAAGGACACATTCATACATGTGCTGTTTCTGTCTGCATGTTTGCATCATGGCTCCAAATGTAAAAGAATTGCCAAACGATGTTGACTAGGAGACTTCACAAAGATGAAAAAGGATTCAAGAAGATTGGTGACCAACTAAAAATCAGTGGAAATATAGTTGATATTCCAATAAGCGGGCTTCAAGATGGCGAAGAGTTTGGGTGTGAAAACTAGCCGATGTACTGGACCATCACGATCTACATGGCCAATATCGGACTTATTTAGCATGTATTTGGGAAATAAAGTATTTAAGGAAAGAAAGTCCATCAACATATTAAAATGTCCCACAAAATGTCCAACAGTGGCAACTGACAAACACATTGCCTGCTGTGGCTGACCGGGGTGTCATAATCTGCCACGCATGAGCGACGCTCGGCCCGTGAGCCGTAACGATTAACCATCGAACATTAACCAGCCACTGATTTGTCACCACTTCCACTCAACAACATCCATTTGTCCAAGACTAGCCTGAGATGCAATTGAAAACACTGGAAAAAGCTTGTCATCGGCTCTTTTTCTTTTCTTTTTCTTTCTTAAATAGTTGATGTTTTCAGAACGGTACCAGATACAATCAAGGAAAACATGTTCATGATAATGTTACCTGTTGGGCGAAGGGAGATTGTGACACGGTTGCTCTTCTTTTTTGGAGGAAGACAAACGACAACAGCTAGATATCGTAAAACCAGGATGCTGAGCCAGTGAGGAACTGCACTGTACTGGCCGGAGCTGAACTGGATGTTGGCGATAAAAACAGTCTCCAACAGGCTGGCCACCATCAGAGCGAGACTGACTGAGAATAAAACATCTGGAGACAAAACAAAGTGAAAAGGTGTGAGGACATTTTTAGTTTTAGCTTGACTGATACTATTTCTATGAAAAGTAACGCTCACTTATGAGAGGAATGGTGTTTCCGGTGACGGGCAGCAGGTCGTTCATGATGAGCAGGAAGACGGTGTAGCCCAGGATGAGGGTCATCTTGAAGGCAGATCGGTCCACACTCTGTGGAGGCAGCAGGAAGCTGAAGAGGTCTAAAGTGATGAGGAAGCAGCTGGGGATCAGGAGGTTCACCACGTACATCACTGGCCGACGTGCTAAAATGAGCTGGGATGAGGAGAAAAGACAAAGCCTTAAGACCTCAGTCAGACTTTCCAGTGTTAATATCAGGAAATTAGACTTTTGCAGGGAACACTGGCCTCCACTGCCAGAAATGTTAAGTGTTGTAGTTTGTCTTGCTTTGTTACTGGCCCCTTGAACCTTTGGTGTTCCACAAGGATTCAATCTCGGTCCCCATTTTTTTTCTGTATATATAATTCTGCTTTGACAAATTATCCACAAAAAGAACTCAGACTACACTCGGTTTTTAAAAATTATTTCTAGATTCCCAGCTTTTCATACACTGACTCTCTTTGCCATCTTTTTAACTATTAACTTTTATGACTTGGTTCAGACTTTTCCTGCGGTTTATTTAAATACCGGTCGCACGTCCCATGAACACCGAATACAGCCTGAAATAATAATTCAAAATGCTTACGAAGAATTTGACGGTAGAGTAGCTTCCAACAGTTACATCCAGGTGTGATGGAGCTATTTGGATGTCTGCAAGCTCCCACTCCCCTTTGGTCTGTAGCACTTGTTTGGACTGCTCCAGGATCTCTGCAGCTGTGTGGTGTTTCACCATCCTTATTTCATTAGCTGGGAAAAAACAGCAAAGTAAGAATATTTTGTTCATATTAAATGTCCAAACAGTGTGACGCAGTCAGATTGTTATTAATCAAATCTGTGTGTAAAGAAAAAACAGTCATCTGTTCTAAAAAGATTGGCTTTTGTCGTGTAGTTGTGTTTCCTGAGAAGAGTTACCAAAATGTAGATATGATCCGAAGGTCAGCGAGCAGTTCTGGATGTCAAAGGGGAAAGTGTAGATTTCCATATGGCAAGAACTGACCACCCTGAGGGGTTTGTCATCGTATACACGACCTGTGTAGTCCATGTAGACATAAGAGGTTTTGGGAGATTTGTCTTCGTTCATGCTGGAAGAGAACCAAAAAACCTATTTCATTATAAACATACTTTTAAATATTATCGCTCAGCTTGTTCACTTTCATGGTTACAGACTTTCTCTTAACTTACAACTCTGAGATGTAAATATCTGGGACCCAAAGTTGTTCGCGAGGGACAGAGATCAGTTTAGTTCCACATTCCTTGTCGTCCCAGCTCAGTCCTGCTATGGGCCACGACTACATCAAACAGAACAACTGACTGTTAAAAAATCTCAGAAAATGCATGGTGTCCCTGCATACTTAGAGTAAAGGATCAGTTTTATCATTTATATAAAAATCACATGAAAATACCTCAACGAATAATACATGGATCCTAATCACTGGACTGTAGCAATGAGACTGTGAACCACCAGCAGACTTTGTCATATTTTAAAATGATCATTAATAAAGCTGTAAAAGAACCAAAATGCATGAATGTCTTCTGTAAAAAAAAAAGACGCACGTGTTTCAATGATTCCACCATTAAAAAAACGACTGGAAACTAACCACTGCTGTATATAGACTTTAGTTTGCGGCTGTATCATTATGTTTTATTCATTATTTCAATGGATCTAGTAAAAAGAACATCTTTAACCCTTTAAGCCCTGAGCCATTTTTCAGGCCTTTTCTCGAAAATTACATACCCATAATAAAAACAGTTTATCTCTGCAACCACAAGGTCTATTTGAATAATTCTTGTGTCATAATAAAAGAAACACTTGTAAGATTTGTTCAGATGTGTAAATGTCAGTACATATGTTACTGGTTAAAAGTAAATGTAGATGGCACACACACAAATTTAAAAATTTCAGGTTCGCCTAAATAAAAAAAAGCAGTTTCAGGATAATTATCTCTTTGGAATGATCCAGCTGCAGCTCTAAACCTCTCCAAAATCATAGCACAATATGTGAGCATTCTCCCTGCAATGGTTGACTCTGAAAAAGTGAAGTAGAACAAAATTACTAAGTTTTTAATCCAGACAGTTCAGGCGAGGTGACATTTTTGGACACTTGGGCACATTTTGGCACACTGGTGACCATCTGAGTGTTCTTATGTACAAACTAGATATTTCACTTGTATATTACTAATGGTGTTCAATACATCCAAATACAGCAGTTTTTTTTAGTTTTTTTTAAGTCCTAACAGACCGCTGTCTCCTTTACGCAGCCTGTGCGTAAAGGCCAGCAGGCGGCTGTGAAGGTTCGCTCGTGACGCAAACCTCTATCTGCGTGATGGATGGGCCGATTTCGGTGATTGAACCCGCCTTCGAATCGTTAGAGCCAATAGAAGATAGCCATTGCCACCAAAACGAGATTGACAGCACTTTTAGCCAATCAGAATCAGTAGAACGCCATTTTGTGGAGGAGCCGCTTGCTCCTTCGTCCACTTGGTCTTAGTGCCCTACGGTTCACACAGCTTCCCAGAGACGGGTGACGTGCTTTCCGTGTGGTACGGGAAGTAGTACTAACTGATTCCGGTGTAGATTTACCGAGAAAATAAACTTTTCACGGCAAAACAGCTAAGGTAAGAGACATTTTACAACTACAGTTTGACGAAGCGGTTTTGGTTTTTGCTGTTCTTTGGGTCGTTTCTCGCTGATGCTTTGGTTTTAGAGAGCTTTGATGAATATGTTTAGAATCTGGGGACTCTCTGCTTCATTTTGAGAGGTAGGTTGTGCGTCTTTCATAACGTACAGTAGCGACAGAGCCAGGAATGTGACGAGTGGGTTGACGTGGTGGCGCTATAGCGATGTCCATATTTGATAATTCATTTAGTTGGTGTTTGAGTTGTGTTTGAGGCATGTAGAAATGGCTGATATGTGCTTGTAGCCCAGGTTCTGCTGTTTAATTTGATGTATAACACCACTATATTCTTTCATGATGAGTGCATTGTTTCACACTATTTCTTTCTGTAAAACCCGAGAGGCCCCCAATTGGAGGGGTGGTAAATGCTGTTGTCTGTTATGTGATCATAAAAAAAAAAGTAGAAATAATAATTTTTTTTTTTGTTTTCAAAATACCAAAATTTGGCAATGTTGTGGCAACTAAGCCAAAAAAATCATTTGGTATAAAGACATTGCAGTGGTTGACATCATAGTATTTGAAGAGTTCATTTTAAGAACAGATAACTCCGTCTTTGTAGATTTTCAGAAAACTTATTTTTGTTGTTGTTTGCTTGAGATAAAATCAATCAAACTGAAGCTGAGTGGATTTGACTCATGACAAAAATAGGAATAACTTAAGCTTGATTGATATTTTCTCAGGTAGACGATGGAAAAGTGGGTTCTCTGAAGGTTTGTGTAGATGCAGTTATCTGATTTTTGCCAATGAACTCTTCACTTGATCAGCTCAGACTGTTTAAAAAAGATTCCAGACAAAATTCTGAATTTTTTCACGTCTTGTCACTCGTCTGAGAACTTACCAGAATTTGCCATATGAACACTGTCAAGGATTGAGCTTTTTCATCCTGCGTGAGAGACAGATTTATCGGGAACAAAATCCAATCATGGTTAAAAGAGGATACGTATTCGCTCACATGAATAATAAATGTTTGCTCATGAACTCACCACTCCTAAAATTCCCACCACAGTCACGTCGATGGTAATGTTCAGTGTATCCGAAAAGCTTTTCACCGGTCGCAGTTGCTTTTTAGGAAACAATTCTCTCTCAAATGCATCAAACAGCGATTCAGGAGTTGGACTGGTGCAGTTCAGTGCTGCGGCAAAGCCTGAGTTCAGAAAGAGCAGAAATCTGGATCCATCAGATGTTTAGCTCATCGTCTTCACTCGTTGTTGGTAGATCTTTGTTAGCTATGACGTTTGATCTTTGACCCACTTTTTGTGCATCATTATGTGAACTTCTTGAGTCAGTTTGTAGTTTGATGATCCCTAAACTTTTCACGTATCATCAGGTGACATTTTTTATTTGGCCAGATATATGTAGAAATGTTTGGTTTGTGACCATATGCTTGCAAACGACAACAACTTTCCCACCAGCCTCAGCTGTACTTTGTGCTCACTGGTGAATATTAGCTTATTGATTATATCAGAGCAATCCAGGCTGCTGTCACTGTCAGTATACAGACAGAATTAAGCTGAAAGCACCACCGTATCCATGACACATATTGCATCATAGAGGCGCAAAGGCTTTTAGTCTTAACATATGTTGCAGCTACGGGTGCTATAACATGCTTTGTGGGTTTGTTTGTTCTGCTGTCCCACCAGGTTTTCAGTCTGTGTGGTGAGTTACTGCTTCAAAGTCAACAAATAATCATGACATTAATCTACAGCCACATACTGTCTTCCAGTTTCTTCAAGTTCAGTTGTTCCAATTTCAACCAGCTTTAATGGAATCTTCTTCCTTCTTTACTTTCTTTACTAACTTCTTAGATCATCAAAATGTTCTCTTCCTTACCGTGGAGCAGCAGAAAGCAGATGAAGACCAGCCCGGCTGTCTTTGTCTCCGTCATCTTTCCGTCTGTGTCACTCCGACCACTTCAAACCAAATGTCATCGCTCAGTTGTTTGCGTGCACGTGCTGTTCTTTAAACCGTCGCAGAACTAACCCAACAGGAATGCCTGCTGTTTGAGCTGTATGTCATTAAAATGCTGAGGATGTTAAAACTTTCCTTAACAAATACTGTCGACACACAGCTCCTGAGCTTGAAATGCAATTTATTTCAACACAACGCAAAACAAAGACACAGAAACTGTGTTTGAAAACTTTAATGACGGTTGAAACACAGCGGTGATACATGAAGCTCTCTCGATTGTTTACGTCCAGTGTGTTCTGTCTAATCTGCAGTTTTTATTCTGTTCATATTCACTCATTTAAACACATTGACAGACACAGGTGACAGAAATGTATTCAATAATAAATCCAAAGACAGAAAGAAAGAACTTGGACATGTTCTGGGTTCTGTTGCTTTTAACGTATGCAAAAGTAAAAGACCCTGAAGTTTCCAATGTGTTTCTATTATTGCTCACAAATTTCTACAGGATCAAGTGCACACATTTGAGCTCATTAACACCAGCTGTCCCTGATCCATTCTGTTTGATATATGCTATAATATACGTTAAATAACCTTGCTGCTGCTGTAATTGAAAGTCCTGGATGGATGTAATATTTTTAAAGAGGTATACGTGTGTGGTATCATTACAATTAATTAAAAAACCGAGGAATAAAAGTGGCAAGAAGGAAGAGAAACCTGAAAGATCAGTGGTGCAAACGAACCAGTTTGTGTTGTTTTATGATTTCATTTTCTAAATTGCCTAATGTCACTCCAGTGATCACTTACAGAACATCGGAGGGATGAGTGCGGACAGTCAACATCAATAAAACATGTCTAGTCATCCTCAAATGTATTCAAACCCTCCCATTAGATTAGATTAAATAGAACTTTATTGATCCCTTAAGTAGGGTACTTCAGGGAAATTGTTGTTCTAAACACAGCGCAACACCGACAGAGACAGTAGCACACATCAGTTAAGAAAAAAATCAGCAAACAAGGAAACAAAGGAAAAGACGGGAAAGAAACAGCTGTCACTGAAATAAGTTGAAATTGACAAAAGTAATAATAAATTAATTTTTTAAATGAAAATCATGACGTTGCTTTTGAATTGTGGTTCAACAGAAATATATATATGTATATATGTATATGTATGTGTATATATATATATATATAAACAAGCATGATGGGACCCGTAAACTAATATTTAGTTGAACAACCCTTTGAGCCAATCACTGAAGTGTTTTCTGTAACTCTCAGTCAGACTTCTGCACCTGTTGACAGGTGTTTGGATTTCACTGCCCCTCAGCAAAGTGCTCTAATTAGTTTTGTTTATTTTTTTTAAAATTATTCTTTTCAACCACAATTCAAAAGCAATGTCTTATTTCACTAAATTATAAATTAGCAAATTTTTATTTATTATTACTTTTTTCATTTTCTAGTTATTTGAGTGACTATTGTGAATTTTGCCTTTTCTTTAATGGAAGGGGATGAATACATTTGAGGACGACTGTAGTTTTTGGGTCTTACGGTTCTCAAGTCTCCGATGAGTGTTTCAGGAGGCTCTGAATCATCCATGATCATTTCTAACCTGCAGCAGCGTCTTCACTTAGGAGGCGGTTGGAAAAAACAGCTCAAGTGTAAGGAGGTTTTTAAAATGGATTTTTATCTTCCCCTTAGATTTTGGCTGTTTTTTGTTTTTTTTTGAAACGACTCATTTTCATCAAAAAGAAGAACAAAAGAAGAGTTGGAAGAAATGTTTGAGATATTGGTTTCAGTGCCCTGAATACAACTTCAAACATAAAAGAAAATACATAACACGGCAAAACATTAAATAAACAGTGAAAGGTGAGCATTTTAGTGGAGAGGTGCCACGTAGCATATTATGTTAAAGACAAAATGGATGAAAGAGGAGTGAAACCTAACAGCCAAGTCAGAGGTTGTTGTAGGAGTTCACCCAGATGATGATGATGGTAATGAAGCTGACCGTTAGGAAGAGGATGTAGACGATGAAAAGCAGGCGGTCGATGATGAGACCCACCTGGATCCACTCCTCTGTGCTCCGGCTTCCTGTCAGCTGCTGCTCCACCTGCAGCCGGACGGCCTGGAGGTCTCTGCCCAGGCTCCACAGCTCCTGCAGGGCCTCGTAGTCGTTCAGCGGCTCCTTCTCCTCTGGAGCCTCGCTCCACTTCGCCACTGGAGGGGGAACTTTCATTTCAAACTCTGCAATAAGAAGACAACAGAGGAGGAGACGGCAGCTCTGACTGTTTAAACTGACTTGTGTAAGATCAGTTCATTCATGATGCACATGTTGGGTTTGCTTGTGTAAAATCCCACCCTTGGTCTGGTCTCCTACCTGGCACAGCAGGGTTTCTGAACACAGTGTCTTTTTTATCTCTAGGCTTGGGAGGAAGACGTACTAATCTGCCCAGGATGTGAAGAACAAGCACTCTGATCCAGCGAGGAACTGGAGAGTAGTGAGCGGAGCCACAGATGAGGTTGGTGATGAGGATGGTCTCCAGTAGACTGGCCACCATCAGGCCCAGGCAGAGCGACAGGAACACATCTGGGAGAGTAGTAAAAAAGGTGCTTTTTAACACCTGAGTTCACAGAACTGCTTCAGAGACAAATACATCTTAAATCTAGTGGAAAGAACTCAAGACTTTAAAGTGTAAATCAGCATGAATTTTGTCCACTAGGTGGCAGTGGAAACAAGCTGTAAGCAACACTGACTCACAGGATTTAGCAGAATGTGCAAGTTGCACCTATACATTGTACATACAGAGCAGATTAACCTGCATTTTTGTCTTCACAATGTTTTTTTTTTTATATCCTGAATAACTAAATTTGCAGAATGAACAATATAAATGCTGCATAATGACACAAGCTCCATTGTCTTCTTTTATATTTGGGGCTTAGTTTTGTCCAGATTTCAAACAGGATTTATGGTAGTTGTCAACTGACTTAAGAGCGGTATGACGTCTCCAGTGATGGGCAGCAGGTCGTTCATCATGAGCAGGAAGACGGTGTAGCCCAGGATGAGGGTCATCTTGAACAAGGACCGGTCGACTTTTTTGGGAGGCAACATGAAGCTGAAGAGGTCCACAGTGACGAGGAAGCAGCTGGGGATCAGGATGTTCACCACGTACAGGGTGGCCCGACGCTTCACCGTCACCTGTGGAGAGGACAGGTACGCAGCGGCTGGTAAATTTTTTACTGATTTCTCTTGGAACACTTTCTGCACCAAAATCCCAACATTTCTCAATTTCCCCCCCCTCTTTGTCTGATACTTCATCTCCATCTATTGTGCTGCTGTCAGTGATTTTGTAGTGTTCAGAATTCTTGGGAGATATTCTTGAAGGCAAAGCCAGATTAAATAACTGCAAAACTGTGAATGCCACAAGTAAGAATCGACACCAGTTGTTATCAGTACAAACTGAGAAAGGGATGTGACGTTTGAACACAGCATACAACAATACCATCGCCTGCGAGATCGTGGTTTTACAGATACTTCTGTCACTACAACACCTAGAGACATAGTTGAACACTAGCTGTAGCAATAAATGCTCCATGGCAGCACGTTGGTTCTCTGTGTAGGAGCTATGTTGAACAAAGCAGCTTCATGTAGAAGGGAACATTTCCTGAGCAAATGCAGGTTTTTTATTGCCTTCAGTAGAGTCGGTGTTGTTGTGAACTTCTTGCTGTATTTGGCCTCTAACTCTATAGAGTTCAATGTGTGGTCTCTTCCCTGAAGACTGTACCTTCCTCTGTATCTTCATCTTAGCATTTCTGTTTGATAAATAACTCAATATCGACCTTTAAATGGTTGCAGCCTTCTGCAATTTCTTACAAAGAAGCGAAGCTCTACGTAGGTTCCTTCAGTTGTAGATGGCATTAACAATCTCTTCGCTGTCAACGCAGTTAGTTCCCATTCACCCATCGTTGCCATCACTTCTTTGGAGAGTTTGAACATTAGCTCCACAGGAATCCCGAAGGAAGGTTCTATAGCCTTCACTGAAAGAAAGACAGTCAAAGTTTTTTAGTTTGACAGATGAATCCCTTTATATGATTTAAAACTGAATAAAAACAATTACACTACGTCGAAGAACACATCTCTCAGTTCACTGGAGTGATTCGTAAGAAAGATCCTCAGGGACAAGTTCTTACTTACGACCGTGTAAGTAGGAGTTGTAGCTTAAACTGCAGTTCTGAATGTCAAACGGAAATAAGTAGATGTCGAGTCTGCAGGAGCTCACGACTCGGACGGGCTGCGCGTCGTACACCATGCCGTCATACGCCAGGTAGCTATACGGGGCGAATGGAGCCGAGTTCTTCCCCATGCTGCGGGACGATAAAATGCATTAAATACAACTGATTACATGCCTAATTTGTATATCAATATGTTCTGCTTTTTAAGACTGCTGTGATCAAATTGAGCAGCATCAGCACTCTGCAGGCTGGTAGATGGAACATCAGGCAAACTTTTCCGGAGCATTAAAGGAAGAACCTCCAGACTGATCAACAGCTTCATGCCACAAGCTGTCAGAACGCTGAACTGCTGATCCAGATATGCAAACACTTGTTTATTGAATTGCTTTTAGTTTTTTGGATCCTGAAGAAACGCTCTCTCATCTTGTTTGTACTACTGTTGCATGTATGTACAGCTAAATGACGATGAACTTGATTTGATTTGATTATGGGAGGCACGTTCATCTCACAGAGCCTCCTGTGTTTCTTGTCGTTTTGCACCCCCCCCCCTACTTGTACCTTCTCTGTCTTCGTCCTCGCTGCCTCACATCTTTTGAGGACAATTCCCAGGATCAGCTTTCAACATCTTATTATCTCAAAATGTAATCACTTTGTCATATTGAGATAAAAGAAATTGTAGATGTTAACTTGTTAGCATGCTCTGATTCTGTGTCTCCATTCAGATCAGTGTGTATGAAGGTTGAACTGCTGTACAGACAAAAAAATGGGGCTTACAATTCATTGATGACCATATCTGGTACCCAGAGCAGTTTTCGTTGGACTGAGATCCACGGCGTACCGCACTCTTCTACATCCCATGTTGTGAATTCATTTCTCCAAGTCTGCAACGCAAATCATAAAGGTAGCCTTCAACATGTACGCAACTGATGAGATTACATTCTGAAAGTCAAAGTTTCTGGGTTTCGGTTTCTGGTTTTGTTTGGTTTTTGTGATACATTAAGGTGTGGGGTTTTTTTTCAGTTACTTCCTGTTTTATTTTGAAATCGTTTTTCCTTGTTCCTTTCTCCCAAATCAGTTTCAGTGTTGAAATAGTCTTGGTTCTTTATTTGTCTTTGTCAGTTGGTCCTGTTCGTTACCCAGTTTGCTTCTTGGTTCGCCTGTTCACCTGCCTCTAGTCAAGCTAGTTCTTCAACTCCACCAAAGGGATCAATAAAGTTCTAATCTAATCTAATCTAATCTAATCTAATCTTCTTTCATTTCTAGCTTCATTTTAACACATGCTTTTGTTAACTCTTTGGATTTTTGGTCAATTTTTGCCAGTGCCCTTTTGATTCATCTGGATTGTGGGTTGTTTCTGGATCAACGTTTTTTGATCAAAGCTCACCTCTTTTTCCCCCCCAAGCACCTGCTTCTGTGTCTGCGTTTGAGTCCTTAACTCAGCAATTCAAGACAATAATCAGCAGCACTGCCTTCATGCTTTGTAACACTTCTTATTTAACCCACTGATGGACCACTCTGGTTCGTTATGTGGTAGACTGCATCATGTACCGTCTTGTGTCTGGATAGTGACGAACCATTTTATCATTGCTAGCTAACTGTAAACAAAGTACTCACCATACTTTGCCAGATATACGTTGTCAAGACTTGGGCCTTCTCATCCTGGAAAACGAATCAACAATTAATTGCTTGTATGTGTTCCTTCTTTGCATTTATCTTCCTTAATGGGAAGCCAGCTGATAACATTAAACTCGAAAAGACAAACGAGGCCCAATACTGTCTGTGAAGATTCCCAGTCATCCAGGTCATGGTTATTCTCATAAAGAAGCCATCTATGTCAAACTGGAAAGACCATCACTCAACAGAAGTGGAGGTCTGAGGCATCACCTCTCACCTGTTTACAATTCAGTTTTAAGATCTCTCCCCAGGAAGATGAAACCACTTTCACACCGAGCCACAAAAGACTTTAACGAACCCCATTGTGGCAAGGGGAGCACTAACAAAACAGAAATTCAAGTGTTAATGGCTCCTTAAGGATACAAGTATCTGGAACTCCCAACTAGTCAGTCAGAACTGATGAAGCCTCTTGGATGAGAGGTGGAACGTCTTCAAGAAACTCAAACAGCCCAGTTGCTACGATTCAAGGCGAGAAAGGCCTAATGCTGAATTGGTTTTAAGTTAATGTAATGTCGCTTACCACCCCTAAAATGCCAATCATGATGAAGGAAACGCTGACGTTGGTGGTTGTTGACAAATTCATGACGGGTCGAATCGGATTCAGTTTGAAGACTGGTTGGAGAGCCGCCAACAGTGACAGTGTGTCAGGGCTAGAGCAGTTCAGCATGGCGGAATTGCTTGGAGCTACGACAGGAAGAAGAAATGTGTTGTTATTTGTGAGAAAGGGAACTCATCATTGGTGGAGCAGCAAGCATCAAATGATAACGTCAAAACTTTATTCCATCTTGAGTAATCTGAAAGTATGCATCTGTACAAGTGTCAGAGAGACAAAATGTGCATTTGGCTGAGTTGGCATGGTTTGGAGAAACCGTGTCGTCTACCAGTGTTTGGTACAGTTTTTATTTTTTCAAACCTCGCAAGGGTCCAAACTTTGGGTAAACCAGGGTAAGAAGCCCCCTGACGAACCAATGTCTATTCTCTTTTAAAATATTTTTTGGAATATCAATATAATATGTACACAAGAAGTATGCTTGAGTTAACAAATGTATAGGGTAGTTAAATCACACCAGATTTCAGATTTGTTAGTATAGAACTAAATCTGTAAAAGAGACATCTTCCTCGGGTCGTGGGAGTTAATCAGATCTTAAGCTTGTTACTTACCCATACCATGAACTATATTCCAAAATTTTGATGGTGCTCTGACTTTAGCATGAATGCGACATTTCAAACACGGAAATGGTTTAGATTTCTCTATCAAAGGGTTTGATTATTGCCAAATATTTTATTATTTTATTTTATTTTATAACTCAGGGGCCTCGGACAAAAGTTTGATCTTTGCTTTGTTATCATTGATACTTAAATTGGTGACATTTAATATTCAAAGCTTACAGTAGCAGAGCGTTTAAGCTAGCTAGCTAGCTAGTGCTACAACAAACTAGCATAGCTTAACATAAAGTCAGCTAGTTAGCCTTTTAGCCTTCTTTATAAGTTGCAACTAAAGTTATTATTGTTTTTATAGACAGATTATGTTACTGCGTTAGATAAACAGTGCAAAATTAATCATAAATCCAACATTTGCAAGGCCGGCTTGAAAATCATTAATGTCCAGTTGGGGGCATTTTAACTCAGAAGTCTTACTCTGACTTTCTTTTTTTTTACATATTACAAAAAAGGCTTCAGTTATTTTTTTTTGCTAAAACTAATGGGAAACCCTTCATATTCTGTAAACAGTAAAGTTAGTATATGGATATCCTTATTTAAAAAAAAAAAAAAAAAGCAGACAGACGCTTATTTTGTACTGTCATAAATCATCTGACCTCAAAACCATTTCTTTTGATTTCCTCCAACCAGCAAAACAAATTCAATTATATTTAAAGATTAGTAAGATTACTATCATCCAAGAAAAGACCTAAATCTCTATCTCTAACGGTCTTGGGGGCTTCTGACCCTAGTTGACCCTGATGTGCTCCCTATGCGACATTGTGCATACATAAGCTTCACTCCTTAGAATAAGTGCTGAAGTCTGTGAAGTTGTGTTCAAGAATTTGAAGATCAGTACAGGTTTACAGATAAAACGATTTAAGTTCAATAGGTAGCTCATTTTGTCTTTGCTTTATCACACATAGTGACCTCAGTTTGATAAATAAAATCAGTGTCTCGATAAAAAACCTTCCAATCAGAGCTAGGAGAAAATCAATTCAGTGACAAGCAGGAGATTTATGTAAAGTCTCTTAATAAATATTAGAGTGAAAATTCCTTCTCACTATAAATATTGTATTACTGTATTACGGGAGCAGTACTTACCATGCATGAGCACAGAGATGAAGATGAATAGAAGCTTAGAAGGCTTGACTTTCAGCGGGCAGCACTAAAAACATTAACATTGGGTCAAAAGTGGTTGTTAGTTTGAGTGGTGTGCTGCTGCTGAGGGCTGTCCTGTGAAGATTTCCTCACAGTTTACTTGGAGCCATGTGGCTAAGGGAAATTTAAAAAAAAACAAAAAAAACATTTACATTATATTTAAAAATACTTTCTATATTTTTTAATGTGTTTTAATAGGTGTTTTTGATATCCTCCGTGTATTTATTTTAATGTGGCTTGAAGGCCTCAATCCCAACAGTATCCCTTATATTATATCAATTTATAATATATTGGTATTTAAGACCCGTAAAAGAAACCAGAAAGGTTTTTACTTTTAACCTTAGGAAGATTTAAAGCAACTTTTGTTCATGCTGAAGCTGTTTTCTAGGGCAACACGTATATAAATATTGTAATATGTTTGCACCTGACTTAAAACAAAACCCTTTGCTGTGACCCATTAAAGCAGGAAAGGGATTCTGTTCAACTTATTCCCTCCTACATCTAGACAAGTCGTGTATAATTATTATTCTTCAAAATCAAATATACATCGGAAAGTAAGTCATGCTTCTTCTGCAAGCTGGTATACATATTTTAAAGATTTCAGATGATACACTATATAGCTGGAAGTATGTACGATAGGAGACGTTCATGGACATCGTATGATAAAAACGTTACATAATATTTTGGATAAGATGAGCCCCACTCGATCAGAAACCTTTAGGATGAAATGTGAGCCAAACCTTATCGTCCAACATCAGTGCTTGATCTCACTCGTGCTGTTGTGGCTGAATGAAAAAGTACAGACAGGTGACAAGTGCCTCAGTAAGGTGCACCAATTGGCAGAGATTTAGTTTAAATGCTCACACTCACTTCCCTCCCAGCACAGATTCCTTCTGTTTGATCTTCGGCTTGTCTTTTCAGACATGTGACTTGAAAGCTACTTCCCTCGTCGGCTGTGGGCAGTGAGGCATGTGAAGTAAAACATGCTGTGACTGTGGACACTAACTGGGAATGAAACCTCTAATGATGGAGCCAGTGGAGCAGCCTGTGACTGAAGCTCCTGCCATCTGTGCCTGAAATGTGAGCCCTCTTTCATAGTCACTTGGACTATTTCCTTTTGCCGTCCTAACACAGAATCAGAATCAAGGTGACGTGCTCAGCGTGGTTATACACTGCAGTCTGTTTGTACTACGTCATCCACTCATTTATTCAGATCCTTAACTTGTCCATCCATCCATCATCTATACACCTCTTCATCCTCACTAGGGTCATGGGGGGTTGGAGTCTATCCCAGCTGACTCAGGGTGAAGGCAGGAGACACCCTGGACAGGTCACCAGTCTATCACAGGGCTACACTTAGAGACAGACAACCAAGCACACTCACATTCACACCTACAGACAATTTAGAATCACCAATTAACCTCAACATGTTTTTGGACTGTGTGGGAGGAAGCTGGAGAACCCGGAGAGAACCCAAGAGAAGAACATGCAAACTCCACGCAGACACGAGCCGGCGACCTTCTAGCACCGAGCCACCTTGCAGCCTCCCTTAACTTGTAACCCGTCTATAGAAGCATGTCTTAGAGGTCCACATACTTCTGACCATGTAGTGTACCATTTCTTTTTTTATAAAAATTGCCCTGTGTGTGACCACACAAATGTGTGTTCTTATCTTTAGTTTGTATTTGTTACATGAACGATTACTACAATGGAATATGGATCTATAATAATTATACTGCAATAACACTATGTGATTACCGTGGTGGAGACATTTGCTCTGTGTCATTAAGGTAATGCAGAAGGTAAACATACAGACCGAGTTTTCTCTAAGTTATGTCACTTCATTGCGTTTACTTATTTTTTAAAATATCTTTTTATCTCTACTTATTTCACGTACATTTGGATGTTTTTGTTAAACGTATAATCATCTATCCATCCATCCATTATCTATACACCGCTTAAATCTCACTAGGGTCGCGGGGGGCTGGAGCCTTATAATCATCTATATCGATCAAATTATGGGCAACATTCAGGGCTAGATTTTGTGATGGGGAACCATTATTAAGTGATGTCTACTTTAATTTCTTTTTCTACTTTTCAATATGTTGTCATAGCCTTATTTAGCATATCTTAGCATTTTCTGCAGGAATTAGTCTTCTGTTAAAATCAAACCTGATGTTAATTCGAATAAATGAAAGAGAAAAATAAATTAAAACATAGTTATTTGTTTGAAATGAATGTCAATCAAAAACTGAATGAAATTTTCCAAGTAATTTTATTTTGCACACAGCGGCCTCCTCCATTTTAAAATTGCACAGCATGACACAAAAAGCTTAAAACTACATCTAATTAATGGTGCATTTTAAAGCATTTCATTGTTCTAAACAGCGGTACAATAACTGTGTCGTATATATGTATTGCATAAATGTGTCGGCTCCAGGAAAGTGGGTTTTCAAATCAGCTAACAACAATTACATCTTATTAGTCAGAATTCAACAAACATTTGAGTCGCTGGCTAAATCGATGGAGCCCTTTAGGAGAGGAAGCAGTTGTCTAGCGACCGTATGAGTTCACCCAGATAATGATGATGGTAATGAAGCTGACTGATATGAAGATGATGTAGAGGCCAAACAGCAGGCGGTCTATGATGAAACCCACCTGGATCCACTCCTCTGAGCTCTGGCTGCCCTTCAGCTGCTGCTCCACCTGTTGGCGGATGGCCTGGAGGTCTTTGCTCAGGCTCCTCAGCTGCTGCACGGCCTTGTTCTCCACTCCTGGAGGCTTCTCGTCAGCGTCACCCTTTGCCGCCACAGTGCTGATCTTCAGGTCTATTTGTCAGGTAGGAAATGGATACATACATATTTTTTTTGTTAATGAACAGGATACATACTTTTGTTTAATTCACCTCTTTGGTGAGGGTCTTTGCCTCATTTTTGCAACTTTGCTTTTCAATATGTCTGTGAAGATTCTCAGCCATCCAGGTCGTGTTTGTTCTCGTAGATTAATCATTGCAACTGGACTTGCTTGAGTTCCTTGAAGATGTTTCACCTCTCATCCAAGAGGCTTCATCAGTTCTGACTGACTAGTTGGGAGTTCCAGATACTTGTATCCTTAAGCAGCCATTAACACCGATTTCAGTTGTGGGTTTGTTGCTCCTCCCCCTCATTATGCTAACTAACTAAACTAAGGACTTGCATAACGAGGGGGAGGAGCAAAAAAACCCACAACGGAAACCGAAACTGAAGTGTTCATGGCTGCTTAAGGATACAAGTATCTGGAACTCCCCACTGGTCACTCTCTTGGATGAGAAGTGAAACGTCTTCAAGGAACTCAAGCAAGTCCAGTTGCTACGATAAAACTACGGGAATTGACTTTTTAAGACAAGGTGAAGAATCACATTAATGCGTCTGATCTACTTTCTCTCTCTTTATATATATGCACAAACATGAACTACATACCTGAATCTTTTGGTTTCTTAGTCTGCTGTGGCAGAAGAACAAGGGAACCCATCGTCTGCAGAACAAGCACCCTGACCCAGTGAGGGATGGGAGAGAAGTCGGCAGAGCCGCACAGCAGGTTGGTGATGAGGATGGTCTCCAGCAGACTGGTCACCATCAGAGCCAGGCAGAGTGAGAAGAACACATCTGGCACAAAGACAGAGAAAGAGGGATGAGAACCCCAGAACCAGTAAAGACCTGCAGTGTCCGAATGTGGTTTACTGCATGCTGGATATTTGCTGGATGTTCTTTGAAGCCATACTGGACGTGCATTTGTAAAATAAATGAAAATCTCCACATACTCTTCCCTTGACAGGTGAAAGATTTCACCACTTTTAACACATTGTTCATCACTTTGCCCAAAATATTTATGTGAGTTAGAAGCAGAATGAAACTCTGTACAGTCGTTAATTATGATGAGAACCATAGACCATGACGTTTGTCCTGCAGGCTCAAACAGAACACTTTTACCCTCTGCAGGACTTTTAATTTGGAGAATGAATGTGCAAGAGATCGGTGCACTGCTGTACAGAGCTGTGCAAAGCTTAACTTTTAATATTTTCGTTCTAACACACAATACCAGCAGCGAGGCGTCTGATCAGTCCCAAATTAATTTGGAGACAACAACCCCAAGCATAGAGCCAGAGTTATAAAGGCACAAAGTGCAAAGAACAAGGCGCCGTGCGACAGATGGCGTCGCCCCCACAGAGCCCTGATCTCGACATCATCGAGTCAGTCTGGGATTACGTGAAGAAACAGAAACTACTGCCTGCCAACTACCTTAAAAACCAAATGTGCAGAGCAGAAGTTCTGCTGTTTTAACCCTATTCAGGACTTTTGGGGTCTTTTGGATCCATTTGGTTTAGGTGACAGGTATTGTTTTTTTATTTTTTAATATAAAAAGAGGGACATTTGTTGTGCATTTGGAACCAAAAATACGTCAACTTATCTGTAGGAGACATACAAAGGTGAAGATGAGGAGCACGGTGTGCTTGAATGTGTGTGTGTGTTGCAGAGGCGGTGGTTCATGTGGGAGTGGGTGTGTACAGGTGTGGAAGTGTGTGTGTGTGTGTATAAAGGTGTGCACTCACCTGTGACACAGATGAGAGAGTCAGGGTTGGGTAGTAGCCGCAATGTTTGTTGACAGCAACCCGTTCATTCATTAATCCCTTTTTTATCTGTTTAATCTCCTGGTTTTCATTTTTCCCTTTATTCATCTTTGCTGTGCTGTGATAGCTCTGTGCTGTTTGTCACAATGAATGCACCAAAAGCACCTTTGGATGTCAGCATATCTGTTATCATAGCCTCCTAGCGCGTCGCAAATCTGTGAACCTGAGGATCCAACCTCATACTCTCAGCGGCTAAAAGGTTTGTTTGGACGCCGCAACATTATCAGAAAATGTATTTAACATAGTATGAAAGTCTATAATGAATACCAACAAACATTTTGCACATATTCTTTCTTGATGTCCAATGGATTCCAAAAGACCTTCTACGTATGGCGACATGAAAGTCCTGAATAGGGTTAAAGGATATTTACAATATGAACAGAATCTGTGCAGTACTAGTGCTTTGTTGTTACATTTCTACTCTTGAAAGCAAAACCACTGATATGTGCAACATTGTTTTTCAACCTAAACGTCCACAGATGGAAGAAACAGTCCATCCATCCAATATCTATACATCTTAATCCTCACCAGGGTCTTGGGGGGCTGGAGTCTATCCCAGCTGACTCAGGGTGAAGGCAGGGGACACCCTGGACAGGTCACCAGTCTATCACAGGGCTGCACTTAGAGACAGACAACCAAGCACACTCACATTCACACCTACGGACAATTTAGAATCACCAATTAACCTCAGCATGTTTTTGGACTGTGGAAGGAAGCTGGAGAACCCGGAGAGAACCCACGCTGCAAACTCCACATAGAAAGATCCCGGGTGTCCTCACTGGGACGTGAACCGGCAACCTTCTTGCTATGAGGCAACGATGCTAACCACCGCTCCACCTTGCAGCCCAGAAGAAACAGTACTTATGCATATTTTTTTGTTCACTTTTCTTAGTTCCTTACATGTTTGCTGTTTCCCCTTTGCTGCTGTAACGCTGCAAATTTGCAGGACAAAAAAAGGATTACCTTAAATTTATAAGCATTTTTGGAAGCTGCCTCCAGAAACAGTTGTACTGAAGGAGGCTTTAATGAATCACTACAGACAATGCTGCGTGTGACACTGACTTATGAGGGGGATGGCGTTTCCGGTGACGGGCAGCAGGTCGTTCATGATGAGCAGGAAGACGGTGTAGCCCAGGATGAGGGTCATCTTGAAGGAGGACCGGTCGACGCTCTGTGGAGGCAGCAGGAAGCTGAAGAGGTCCACGGTGATGAGGAAGCAGCTGGGGATCAGGAGGTTCACCACGTACAGGGTGGCCCGACGCCTCACTCTGATCTGTAGAATGAAGCAGAAGAAAGACAAAAGTAGGCTGTGAAATACTGACAACTCTGTGTGTCTGTGCTGTGGCTGCACTTTTCATGATTCCAACTGAACTCATATTTTTAAGCATGTTGGAGTGAATAATGAATAAAAAAAATTGTACACCATAGGCTGTTGCTTGCTTTCAACTCGAGTCTTAAAATCTGAGCCTAAAGAGCAATTCACTGCCTATTTAATGCATTTTAAAATCAGCTCACGTGAAACTGGAGCTTGTCGGTATAAATCCCGTTGTCAATTTCTTCGCTGACGACTTTGTTGGCGGTGATTTCCATCAGCTCCCATTCCCCCATGGTGGTCATGACTCTTTTGGACCTCTTTGTGATTTCATCCGCAGCTCTCCCAAGGAAAATCTTAATGTCAAACGCTGGAGAAAGAGCAAAGGCATAGAGGAATAGTTAAATTTGAGCTCAAAAACAGCTCATATGCAACTGAAAGAGACATAATCAGAGTGTCTGGATTTCTTTCACAATTCATCCTTTGTCAGGTGTGTGCAGAGGAAAAATTGTCCAACAATGAAATGCAATAAGACAAAAAAGAAATTAAACTGTGCATGATGGGAACACACAAGTCAATCAGGTTTTAATAGCTCTGAAATGACTCATAGATCACTCCTCACAGCATTCCTATCGTAGGTATGGGTTTCTTTACTGTTACACACCTTTAAATAAACACATGGTTACTTAAATAGCAAAAAAACAAATAGAATTTCATAAGTGGCAACTGCATACTGCAAAATAAGGCCCATGTAGGTGTCCCGTCCGAAACAGCAAAACTGACCGGTGCAAAGATTCCCTCCCTCCACAGTGATTGTTGAGAAAGGAGAGTCGTGTCTTACCGTAGTGGATGTAAGAGTTGAAAGTCAGGGTGCAGTTTTGTATGTCGAAGGGGAAGGTGTAGATGTCGAGGTTACAGGAGCTGACAATTTTGACAGGTTTGGCGTCGTGCACCCGACCGTCGCTGTACAGGTACACGTAGGGGACAGGTGGCGCTGTGTTTTCATCCATGCTGCGAGGCCAGAACACGCAGAGAGTTATGTGTGAAAAAGCAAAAACGCTGAAAAGTCTGACCTTGTTAACAAGACTGCTCCGGAGTTCGGATTTGCATTTTCAAAACAAAGTAGATGAAGATAAAACACTGGAAGAATGCTGATCATCTAATTCACTTCATATATAGGACTTTTTATGAAGCTCTGATATTAACGCAGAACCAAACCCATCACACTGATTAACACCGGAGGTTTTTTAGATTTTTTTTCTCGGTCGACAAACTTCACATAAAGAAGAAAAGGAAACATAAAAAGTAACTAATGAGAATACATTTCTTGTCCTGACAAGTTTTGCACTACCTCTAATATGTATGTATGTAT